GCTCCATGATTAATATTTTGTTCTGCAGAGTCTGCTAGTTGCATGTGGGGCATCACATCAGGTATACAAATCGATTTTAAGTTATTGGCAAGATCTCTGTCCAGGATACCACTTTCTATTGCTTTCTTCCAGGACAAAATCTCTGTGGTTGCTGGTAGAAACAGAGCCTTAATGTGCTGTCGGTTACTAAGGATTTTATGTGCTAGTTCAGTAGACACAATACCTTGTTCTAGGGCATCTGTAATTGGGAGGATCTCTCCAGATTCAGGCCACAGCAAACCCATGAATGACCAGAGGGACTCCAGAATCACAAGGGCGATCTTAGCAGCTACTAGATCATTGCTCACTGCTTCATTTATTGTTAGCCTTTGCCCCGTGACAGTGTCTATGATGCCTCCTGTCTGAAGCTGCCTTATAAGGATACCACAGGCCATATCTTGGTCAATCAAATTATGTCTTACAGCCTCTTCCACTGTAAGTCGGTGTCCTGTTCTTGGATCTACTATGCCACCAGCAAAAAGCTGAGCTTCCAGCAACCGGACAGTGACCTGCCTATCTATCAGCCCTTCCTGAACTGCACGGAAAATGCTAACCTTCCGGCCTGATTTCAAGCTCACCATTCCCCCTGCCAATTGTTTGACAGGCAGTAATTTGAATCCTGATTCCTGGTGGACAATACATCGTTGCATCAGATCCAGTAAACCAATTTTCTCAGCTGTGTTAGGGTCTATCAAATTCTTGGATGTTCTAAGATGAGACTCTAACACTGAATGAAGCCATGCAGAAATGAGGCCTTGATGAAAAGCCTCTTCCAGGTTAATACAGTTCTCACTAGGGGAAAGACTGAAACCTCCAGTTGCCAGGTGAGCTTCTAAGATTTTCAGTCCAACTCTCTCACTGATTATTCTCTTCTCAATTGCTTCCACCACAGAAAGAGGGCCTCTGCTCTCAGTAAGCCTGCTTATTAAGGCCAGGGCATCCTGTAGCTCCCGGAGCTCCTGGTACATCTGGGGATTAATGAGGTTTCTGGCTAGGCCCTCCTCCAAAGAGAGGTTTTCACCAGTCTCAGGGGCAATGAGGCCAGACATGATAACCTGAGATTCCAGAAGTGCAAGGCCTGTGTCTTGGTCAAGGAGGCCCTTTCGCATGGCTTTGAAGATAGGAAATATCTCCACTGTGCCTAGGTCAATCACCCCAGCAACTGCTCTGCAATCCTAAAAAAAAAAAAAAAAAAAAAAAAAAAAAAAAGGAAAAGAAAACTGAATCAGAGCCAATGGCAAAGCACAACGATTGAAAGGAGTCATTCAAAGAACTATAGTATTTAGGCCAGGCATGGTGGCTCACGCCTATAATCTGCCCGAGGCGGGCAGATCATGAGGTCAGGAGTTCGAGACCAGCCTGACCAACATGGTGAAAACCCCGTCTCTACTAAAAATACAAAAATTAGTTGGGCTTGGTGGTGCCTGCCTGTAATCCCAGCTACTCAGGAGGCTGAAGCAGGAGAATTGCTTGAACCCGGGAGGTGGAGGGTTGCAGTGAGCTGAGATTTTACCATTGCATTCCAGTCTGGGTGACAGAATGAGACTCCGTCTCAAAAAAAAAAAAAAGAACTATAGTATAAGCCCCAACATGTAGGAAATATTCTGAAGCAAGCCACCCAGTGTTAATAATAAAAAAGAGTTTTTCTACACTGCAGAATGTTTACTAGACCAGAAGTTCCTAGATCACTTGAGAGATAGTGGCATTAAGCATATCTGAGTGACAAGCTCTACAGGGTGGCAAGCAGTGAAAGTGATAGGATTTAATCTTATTTTTAAGACCAAATCATCATAAAGTTTCTTACAGACGCATAACAGTTCCCCCAAAGTGAGAATTCAACCCCATAAAACAAGTTTTTGCTGTTGTAAACCACACAGAAGACTCTGGAAGTAGCAATTCCCTGCTGATGAGCATAGCAGGACTGGTCCACAGAATAAGAGGGATTTATGCAGTCCAATAGCTCCAGAACAATTGTGCATCCCAGTAAACAGGCCTGTGTATATTACTCAAGAAAGTATTTTAGCCACTGGGATACTCGCATTCTTGGACAATGCTAGCTTCTCCCAAGGCAATGGCTCTAAATTAAATTAGTTCTAGGACTTGGAAGTAGCAAGACAAGGAAGAAACAGATCGGGAACCCTTGCCTACGGAACCACTAGTAACTTTTCTTCTGGTCCAGGCTAGAATGGGTAGCACAATAACCATGACTACAGCTGTCACTTATTATTAGATCTATTGAACACTGACATTTAATTCTCACAGTAATCCTATGAAAACAATTGTTTGAATCTTTAGTTTGAAGAAATGAAAATGAGGCACATAGTTTAGGTAACTTGTCCAAGGTCACAAAACTAGTAAGTTCCAGAAATAAATCAAGGTCTGACTCTAAATCTTGTATGCCCTCCCAGAGTCAGACCCAGAAAACTATAAAAGACAAGTACAGTAGAGTCACATCTTAACACAGGAGTTAGGTCCTAAGGTCAGTGAATAAGGCATATACGCTGTCAAAATTACTCTTGCAAATCCTAGAAAGAGCTCCTAAAGAATTCTCATTTTGAGATCTTTTATCACAGAATAATACATTCAGATTTTAAATTATTTAAGTGTTTAACCACTTAACAACACTTCATCATTTTTATTACTCTCCAACTTTTCAGCTCTTATTTATGTTCACTATTTTCATTTTCTGTATATAATTTTATCTGTCCCTCTTTGGTCAGTGCTACTTTCTGATTACTTATTTAACTCTCTACCTTATTGATGGAGGATCTTGTGGAAGCAGTTTCCAATTACTTCCCTGCCTCCTAAATAATAGCATTCCATTTTACCTCAGTGAGTAAGTTCCATAAGAGCTGATCCATTGCCCATGAAGGTCTAGGAGCAGTAGCTGTCATTCAATAAACATGGGACGAATATGGATAAGTAATAAGGAAACCCTTAAAATCATTAAACCATTTCCCCTCAGATTTTAGAAACACGCACTGAGGATTTCAAGCTTGATGAGGTGCATACAATAAGAATACAGTATGGACAGCAAATAAAAGAACAGTATATTTGGTTCTCATCTCCATTTCTACATATGTATTCAATCAATGGAATAACTGACAGACTTCTCCACACTAAAGTATTATTTATTCCCTATCCCCTTGTTTTCTGACCAAGAAGAGAAAGTTCAATCTGTATAATTCAAACATATATATTATGCAAATTCCCTAAGTGTCTGTTTTAAAGAAATTGAAGGAAAAAGTTCACTGGAATGTGATACCTGAAAAATTTCAAGATACCTGAAAAATTCCTTTTAGAAAATCCATGAAAGACTATTCAGAACAGACAATATGACAAAGAAAAACATTCCTTTGAGAACTTTTCATTTCTTTTGTGAGATTCATGGAGTCTCAAAAATGCTGACACTGAAGAAAGGCCTGGAGTCTAGCCAAAGAGAAAAGTCTACAATGTTACTTCCAACACCCTCACAATTGGAGAATAGGCAGGAAACACTCAGCTGGGAAAAAATCCAGAGAAACTCATTTCTATCCTACCAAACATGGACATTCTGACCTAAACAAGCATTAAGAGACAGAAGGAGAGGAGGAAAGAAAACATAAAAGGCTTCTACTTACCAGAGTTGCAGGGCACTCCTCAGGCAGATAAAAGATAGAGCCTTATGGAGCAGCTCAGCCGTATCACACACAACAGTGTAAGCTTGGTGTTAGCGTCCAGCATGCGACTGTTTGTTTTTGCAAAAAAGAACCCCAAACAGGTCGTCCTCTTTTCCCTTTGTGCATTTGTGCTTAAACTCCAAAGGGTTAGTGAAACTTGTAAGCAAGGATGTCAGTTAATCAGAACAATACTTCACATGAAACACACAAACAGTACAGGAGACACATCATGCTCAATGTAGTGGTGCTCAGCAGCTTGTCTTTCTTTTTTTCTTTCTTTCCTTTTCCCCCCTTTTTTAACCTTTCAAAATGAGAACTGGATGTTCTCAGCAAGCAATTGTTAAAACTTTTCACATACTCCCTTATATGGTGAAGCAACAAGCCACTGGAAGTGGGCTACCTTAAATGGAGAATGTTATACTAGCACTTTGTTTTTGGAAATATACCATCAAATCATTGCTAGTTCTGTCTTATGGTCTTTACAACTCCTGTTGCACAAAATTTATATCCAAGGACCAGAATCAAGACATGCTTTGTCTGAATATCATTTTGAGCATCATCTGGACCAAATTTGACTATCACATGAGCTTAATTTTGGCCTGCCCCACATAAGTTGGCCATTGCTTCACAACATAGGAAATAAGCAGGCAAACACACATATATATCCCAGAGACACATGTATATATTATGATAAGTGTACACACACGCACAGGTATCCAGGAAGAACTTAGGACAACCAGCAGGAAATATGATGACTTTCATATGGTCCAGGAAATGAACATGGAGGGGAACTGGTAAAGATGCCACATGATGAGATGACTATGGGTGAGGGGAACCAGCGTCTTAGTCAGTGAAACTACTCTACTAGTTTGCTTTGGAACTTAAATTTCTCATTGCCTTAGTATGGAGGGAAGAGGTTCACAGGTTTTTCTTTCCAATATCCAGAACTCTTGGCTATCAACTTTCATGTGACAATGCCACAAGGGAGTATCTTACTGCCCTGTGATCATATACAATACAGAATTTATGTTCTCCTCAACTGCTGTCTGCCACAAAATGGCATAAGACAAAAAAGGTGAACCAGGTCTAAAGGGTCAGCTGTGTCTTCTAGTGCTTTTGACTGACCAACACATCATGGAACCCCAGTAAGGAAACACAAGACACATGGCTGCTAAGGTGAGGTTAAAAATTAAGTCACATTGGTCATGGAAAGCTAGTGATCATGACTCTGAATCAGCAAAGCTGCTTTCATACCATTCAAAAGGTATCCACCCAATATTTGGAGATGAAAACTAAAAGTACCTTTTGTTCTGTCTGGTGAGCCAACTGGCTCTGAAGCTGCTGAAGCTGATTTGCAGAACCATCACAAAGGTCATGGTAAGCCTGGTTTAGGGCATTCAATTGCTCAGATATTTGTTTCTTCTCTTTTTCTGAGAGCCTGGAAGATGAAGCATTAAAGTTTTTTTAGGGAAAAAAAAAATCCCCAAACTCTGCTCCATTGCTTCAAAATTACTACTTCTTCATCTTGGATGGATGATCTTCTTCCATATTCATGGGAGACTCTGGCATTTCACTCAGTTTTTCTGTCTATCTCAGATCAAGTCATGGTTCTTGGTGATGTCAGTGCTATGTCCACCCCATGCTTGTAGTTCAAATGACCTCATCTCCACTTTAGCCCCACCTACAAACGTCAAATTTAGACCCTTCTATCATCTGAAATTATTCTGCTTCTGAAATCTTAGACTTCAATAATCCACTATATGATTATAACTCTACCTTCCAGTTTTATCTTTCTTTACTCCTTCTATACCTATTTTCTTTTTAAAATAAAATATTTAAACAGGCAGAAGAATATAACAAATTCTCATTTACCTGTTATCTAGCTACCCAGCTTTCACTTCACGATTTACTATTTTACATATGCGCTTTAGGCCCTTTTCTTTTTCTTTTTCTTTTTTTTTTTTTTTGAGATGAAGTCTCACTCTGTCGCCCAGGTTGAAGTGCAGTGGTGCAATCTTGGCTTACTGCAACCTCCACTTCCTGGGTTCAAGTGATTCCCCTGCCTCAGCCTCCCGAGTAGCTGGGATTACAGGTGCCTGCCACCACACTGAGCTAATTTTTGTAATTTTAGTAGAGACAGGGTTTCACCATGTTGGCCAGGCTGGTCTCAAACTCCTGAACTCAGGTGATTCTCCTGCCTCAGCCTCCCAAATCACTGGGATTATAGGCACGAGCCACCGCACCTGGCGGCTTTAGACCCCCCCTTTTCTAAGAAATAAGACATTACAGATATAATTAAAGCCCACTGTATATTTGTCAACGAGTCCATTCCTTTCCCTTTCTTCCCAAAGGTAACCACCTCTTGAATCTGATGAATCCTGCAACTTTCTTTTTTCATTCCACATTATGTTCCTGAGAATGAACTCTGTTGATTCAAATGGGAACTATCATCAACTCATGGATATGTCCTAAGCCTTCCTTAACACCTCTATTTCCTCTTATTCTATCAGTCTTCTCTATTAAGTTTCTTTTCTTCAGAGGCCAGACCCCACAATCCACATTCTTAATCAGTTCCCTACCATTATCCTTGCACTCTCCACTGACTAACCTGATAAATGTCCAACCCCCAATCAATCAAACCATCAGTCTCTTCTGCTCCTACACTAAGGCTGCTAGGTAAATCCAGTTAGAGGAAAAAAAAAATTCCACAACCACATAGAGAGAGCCAACTGGTTTCCAATCTCAATTGGGCCACAATATTTCCTGACAATCCTCTTGTAAATTCCCAGCCAAGTTCTTCTTCCTTTCTCCTGGACACCATCCTTTCAACAAACCTTTCTGCCTATTTCAAAGAGAACATACAGACCACTGGGCACTAATTCTCCTACTTTCTGGCTTCAGTCCTAACAAATTTACCTCTATCCATACCTTTCTTAATCTCCTTTCCCTCATCTCCACCTCAGAAAAAAAGTGGCCTCAATTTCCTGTTTAAGGTTGTACTTTCTAATGATCAATGAGTTTCATCCTCTTGCATGTCCACTGGGACCTTTCTCTAATTATTTCCTTCCTTTTGTCCTTAGACTTACTCCAAAACATAGTTAATTCCATTGTAGCTTTTAAGAAAACAAAACCTTCTTGATCATATACTCCATTTTTAAATATTGATTCTATTACATTTTTCCTCTCCTATGTCCTGGCTTCTTCAAAGAGCAGTTCTGTTTCACCTTGCTTGCCTCCAATGTGCTCCTCACCATACTAAATCTGACCTCATGCCACAACTTGTCACCAGAGGCACCAGAGACTTCTAACTTGCCAAATGTACAGATATTATTCAACTTTTCTTGACTTCTGAACTTCTCTCCTTTTTGGAACTCTGTTCTTTCTTGGGTTCTGAGTTATCACTCATATTTTCCTTTTCCTTCTCTGAGGCTTCCTCAACAGGCTGAGAAGCCCCGAAAAACCCTTTGGAGTAATCTACCCTCATGCTTTCTAATACGCCGATAATTCAAATCTCTGTCACTTTATGTGATAATTTTTAAGTGTAACCAAACCCATAGATTCATTATCCTTAACATCTCTTGAATATTAGTCTCTTCATTTCCATTCCTCATCATTTCTTGCCTACATTATCAGAACAGCCTCTTAACAGGCCTCTCAGCCTCTATTCTCACTACATGTCCTTTCTTTATATAACTGTTCTAGCAACTTTTAAAAGCAAAACACAATCATGTTTAAAATCTCTTCCCCTAGCCAACAAATTAAATGCAAACTCTTCAGTATGAACTACAGGGTCCCCCATAATCTGACTCTTGCTGCCCTGAATTCTCCAGTCTGAAATCTCATTACAGCCATAAGTTTTAGCCTGATAGACCAGATGTGCCATAATCTCTCATTTAATACTCACTTATGACCATGCTTGGCCAAGAAGATCTGTGATGTTTTAATAGCTTCAGAGACTTGTTCTTTCTTTGTTGTCAGCTCTTCTGCCAGAACCTACATGGTAGAAATAAAGAGAAAAGGCTTCAAAACCCAAGAAATAACAGTCAGAATTTATTTAAAAAATTGTTTTAATCCTACAGAAAACATGCAGCTTAGGTCAAATTATCACCAACGAGCTACAGCTGATAAAAAGGTACAAGAACAAACAAGATGGCTTCTTAAATTTCTTTAAGTTAACATTTACTTAGGTAGCAATCACTTCTGGAATGGCCCACACGTGACTTCTACTATTCCACCTAATGCATTAACATGTATTATTCTACCCAGATAAACAGAGATGGACCTTCCTCTCACCTGCTGTTCCAAAATAGCTTTTTCAATGTCTGTTGATTCTTTGGTCTGGGATGAGGTAGCTTTTCCTTGTGTATTCCTCGCTAGAGTAGACACCCAGCCCAAAAGTTCTTTAACCTTCTCCACATGTTCTTGTTTCTCCTCTTCTACCACTTTCTAGAATAGGAAATAGAAAATCAATATTCTAGCAATGTCTTTTATTAGGTTGGCATGACTTCAGATTTTCTTAAATGAAGTCTTCCTAAAAACAGATACAAAAGTTACCTAAATAAGTAGGCTGTGAAAATAACCCCAAGTATAATTTAGCCAGGCTACAGTATTGCTCACAGGTGTTTGTGAGCTGAATTTGTTATACCTAGGTTTAATACCATTCTGAAAAATACAAACAAATATAATAGGCACTCAATAATTACTTAATGATTTTTTAAAAAATCTCTTCACATATAGCATCTTACTCATTTTCATAATTCTTAGGTTTACAGGTGGATCTGTAAGAAGAGAAGAGGCTGAAGCCTACTGAGATTATATTATGTAGGTATGGATATAAAGAAAGTCTTGCTAATTTAAAAAGCAAAAGATGGTATGGTTAATGTTTTAACAGTTTTTCTTTTATAAGAGAGACTGAATATGCAGAAACTTATTTTACAAAGACAGAAGATTTTTATAATTACAAAAAGATGACATGCTTATTACAATAAATTCAAACAAGTCTAAAACACACAATTATGTAATTTAATCTTATTTAATCTTTATTTTAATAAAGATTTAAATCTTATTTAAATCTTTAAATCTTTAAATCTTTAAATTAAAAAGATTTAAATCTTATTTAATCTTATTTCCACAGAGATTTGGTATAAATGCCTATAAACTTCTTTCTATGCCTTATTATGTCTTTGTAGTATACAAAGACATAATAGTTTTGTCTATTTAATAGTTTTGTCTATTTATTAGTTTTGTCTATAAAAACATGTAGTTTTGTTTTTAATGAAATCATAATTGTACATAGTATTCTAACTTCCTTGTCTCTCAAAAATTATATAACAATTTAATTGTATAATATATATTACATATATAACATATATAATTTTTTGCTGGTTTAAAAAAATTTTTTAATTTTTGTGGGTACATAGTTGGTGTATATATTTATGGGGTACATGGGATATTTTGGGCTTTTTTTTTGAGACAGCCTATTGCCCCGGATGGAGTGCAGTGGCACAATCATGGGTCACTACAGCCTCAATTTCCCAGGCCCAAGTGATCCTTCCACCTCAGCCTCCCAAGTAACTGGGACCACAGGCATGTGCCACCATGCCCAGATAATTTTGAAATATTTTTTGTAGAGAGGGGATTTCCCTATGTCACACAGACTGGACTCAAACTCCTAGGCTCAAGTGATCTTCCCACCTCAGCCTCCTGGGTACCAGAGACTACAGGCACACACCACCATGCTGGCTAAGCTGTTTTACTGCACTTTCAAGATAATATTGGACCCAATTGTCCTCACCTCCTCCTCCTCCAGACGCCGGAGTGCATCACTGATGTATTTCACGTGCTGAGTTGTTAAAGTCACCAATGCTGTGTAGCGAGTCCTTAAGTCCATGAACTGTGGTTCAAAAGAACAATTTAAATAAATCATCTGCCAGAAAATGAAATGTAAATAGTTGAAAATAAGAGGAAATGTTCATGGAGTCACATGTTCACCAGAAAAGTGAGCCCTAAATCAAAATATAAGGCCCAGGCAAATGAATCTTTCCTTAAGGGAAGGCAGTGGTGTATTTCCTTCCGCCACCCTCTCACCTCTTGAGTGATGGCATCTGAAGAGGAAAGCATGCGACGGCGCTTGCCAGGGGATTTCTGCTGCGATTCCACAAAGGCCTTGTATGTCATCAGTTGCAATTCATAGTCCTAGGAAAGGATGAATTTCACTACAGTTACTCAGGGTTTTATAATTCACATACATCATGTAATAAATCATAGCTTTTTATTGCTAGAAGCATTTTGGTGACCACTCAGGCTGGAGGTTAGCAAACTTTTCCTGTAAAAGGCCAGGCAGAAAATATCAGGCCATACTATATATGTGAAAGCAGCCATAGGCAATATATAGATGAAAGAGTGTGGTTGTTAGAATAAAACTTTACTTATGAACACTGAAAACTGAAGTTCATATAATTTTCACATCATAAAATATTATTCTTTTGATTTTCTTTTCAACCTTTTCTCATTGGCCATACAAAAACAGGTGTGGGGACAAGATTTGGCCTGTGGGTCATAGTTTGCTGACCCCTTAGTTGCAGTCTGACCAACCCTTTCATCTCATCTGTGGGGAAAGTGAAACCCAGAGATGGGATGTGAATTTCCCTAATTAACTAAGTGGGTAAGTAACAGAGTCAAGATTAGAATCTTAGTTTTCTAATCCCTAAACCAGTGTTGTCATTTTACCATATTATTCTGCCACTTCCTCTGCAACCCTGCAAGTTCTGCCCTAGTCTACTTGCTTCTTCTCTCACATGAAGTAGCCTTATGAGTGCAGTAGCCTCTTATGTACTTTCACTGCTTCTAGTCTCATCTCAATCTATTCTCTATTGTTCCACCAGAATACTTTTTCTAAAACCCAAAGATGACCACATCATTCTTCTCCTTAAAAAGCTTTCAGTGATCTAGAATAGAGCTTTTCAAACACCAACATGCATATAAATTATATGGGGATCTTATTAAAATGCACAATCTGATTCAGCAGGTCTGAGATTCTACATTTCTAATAAGCTCCCAGGCGATACTGATGCTACTGGTTCAAAGATAACACTTTGAGAAGCAAGAATAGAAGACAAAGCCAAAACAATGAAACAAGGCCTGTCATGGGTTGGCCCCAATCTCACCTCTCATTTTCCATAGTCACTGTTCCTTATTATGCCTTCTAGCTATACCAGAATACTCTCTATTTCCTCTATAATCAAGTATTTTCATTCTTCTCTGCCTGGGATTATGCAGTTCCTTTGCCTAAAACGTCCTTCTGCTGTCTACTTAAAAAAACTCTGATACAAGGAAAACAAGGAATGAATTTGTAAAGGAATCCATAAAAAATAGTAGTAGCAACATTAAAATAATTATAATCAAAGCAATTGCTACCACTTGCTGAGTGCACTTTAAGTTTGAGGCATGGTCCTATGTATATATTATCTCATTTAATCTTTGCAATCACTCAGTGAGGTATTATTGTTCTCATTTTATAGATATAGTAACAGAAACATATGCTAAGTGCATACTCAAAGTAAGCCTGGAAAATGGTGAAGAGTTTGAACTCAACTCTTTCTTACAGTGAGTGTTCTGTTATTAACTAAAGGAATGCCTTCATTCAAAAGTATTTGTTAAGCATCTTCTATGTACTTGCCATTGTTTTGAGTGCTATACACACATACTGAGAAACAAGTCAGGAAAAACTTTGCTCCCTTGGAACTTATATTCTAGTAAGAGTCACAGAATAAACAAATAAATATACAATAATCTCAAGTTATTTTTTTCTTTTTTTTGGAGACAGAGTTGCCCAAGTTGGAGTGCAGTGACACAATCATGGCTCAATAGCCTCAATGTCCCAGGCTCAAGTGATCCTCCCACCTCAGCCTCTTGAGGAGCTGGGACTACAGGTGCACACCACTACACCCAGCTAATTTAAAAAATTTTTTGTAATGATGGGATCTTGATGTGTTGCCCAGGCTGGTCTCAAACTTCTGGAATCAAGAACCCTCTTGCCTTGGCCTCCTAAAGTGCTGGGATTACAGGTATAAGCCACCACACCTGGTCTCAAGTTATTTTTCTTTAAAGATGTTCTAAGAGAAATAGGGGAGAGCTAAATTATTCACGGCCTTACAAACCATGTAAGGATTTAGAATTTTATTATGACTTTTATTGACATGATCTTATTTACCATATTTTATCTATTCTAAGGTACACATTTTCTCCACATTTTAGTCTTTCAAATTGGAATATATCTTAGAATCAATGGCATGTTACATAATTGGCAGAGTTTCTTCTTTTTTCCTCTTTTTGGCATGTAGAAAATTATAGTGTAGCTTGTAATCAATGGAGTCTAAGATTCAGTGACATGCAATATGTTCTAAAAAGGCGATTTTGGCTACTGTGTGGGAAAATAGCCTGTGGGGGCCAGAGCAGAAGCAAGAGACCAGCTCAGAGGGTACTGTAGTAGTCTTCAGTACAAGATTCTTCACTGGAATGTGAACTAGGGAAATATAGGGGGAGATAATGACAGGTAGTCAGATTTGGGACATGCCTGAAGACAGAGCCAACGGAGAATATAAAGCTTAAGGCAAAGACGAGAGTTTAGGATGACTCCTGGGTTTTTTGCCTCAGCAACTACAAAAAAATGGCAATACTATTTCTGAGATAGGAAAGACAAGTAAGAAGCATATTTAAGAATAAAACTCAAACATTCTGTTTTTGCCATGTTAAGTTTAAATGGCCTACGTCATGCAAATGGAGATTCCTCAAATGGCAGCCAACATCTACTACTTCTCCAAGCAACCCCAAACATAGGGTTGCAGGAAATATATATCTGCTTAACTGAAGGATCAGGCCAGCTTCTAGCATAAGAACTCTGCTTAATTTGTCCAGAAATAGAACCTACAGTGAAGATGTAGGTTTTCCTGAGCTGGTGATGATTCATGTTCTTTTTGGGATGTGGTAAAGTTACCTTTACAATAGTAGAGTACTGCTGGGAAAATTTTTGACATTGATCCAGTTTTGTCTGATTTCTCTCAATTTCTGCAAATAGAGCCTAGGAAGCAAAATATCACAACATTATCATTGCCATTACCACCATTGAAACAGCTGAATATTTACTATGTTCTAAAGCAGTAGTTTTCAAACCTTAGCTGCATCAGAATTGCTGGAAAGAGTGGTTAAAACACATACCGTGAGGCCTCACCTCCAGAGTTTCTGGTTCAGTGGGTTTGGGTTCACAAATTTGTACTTTTTTGTCTTTTTAATCTTTTGTAGAGACAAGTTCTCACTTTCTTAACCAGGCTGGTCTCAAACTCCTTTCCTCAAGTGATCCCCCTGCCTCAGCCTCCCACAGTGCTGCAATTACAGGAAGGAGCCACTGTGCTGGATCCAAGAACCTGCATTCCTAACACGTCCCCAGGTGATACGGATGCTGCTAGTCTGGGGTCCACACTTTGAGAACTACTATTCTAAGTATTTTATATGTATCACTTCAGTTAATCCTAGCAACAATAATCTCATAAGGTTAAATAAATAACAAACTATGTCCATTTTATTGATAAGGAAGTAGAACACTGCGAGGCTAAATAACTTCCTCAAAGGCTTATAGCAGATAAGTGAGCCAGGATTGGAATCCAGGCAATACAACTCCAGATCTCATACTTTTTTTGAGATGGAGTCTCACTCTGTTGCCCAGGCTAGAGTGCAGTGGCATGATCTCAGCTCACTGCAAGCTCCGCCTCCTGGGTTCACGCCATTCTCCTGCCTCAGTCTCCTGAGTAGCTGGGACTACAGAACCACACCCGGCTAATTTTTTGTATTTTTAGTAGAGATGGGGTTTCACCGTGTTAGTCAGGATGGTCTCTATCTCCTGACCCTGTGATCCGCCCACTTTGGCCTCCCAAAGTGCTGGGATTACAGGTGTGAGCCACCGCGCCCGGCCTCATACTCTTAACCATAATGCTAAACAAAACAAAACAAAATGCCAACAACAAAAATGCTTAAAATGAATCATTTTCAAAAAAAAAAAAAAAGAATCATTTTCATCTACTTAGAATTTTCCCTTGGTTTTCAAAACCCCATATCTAATCCTAGTAAAATAAAATGTAATCTAAAGAAACAAAATAAAGACAATTTTAATCTGTCCATCTAGTGGTTTCAATACAGTTACAGAAACTCAGAACTGAAGGTACCTGAAGGTACCTGACAGGTTCTCTAGTCTAAATGCAAAGCCAGTATCTTGGGACCATCCTGTTCAAACCACGCTAAGAAAAGGGAACTTGGAATATCTTCCATTTGGAGGAAGCTTTAATTGCTAGTACATCATTTTCTTTTATGATAAACAAAATTTAAATTTCTAACTCTTCCCTCCAGAGCTAATACCACACTCACTGTCTGCTGGCTGAGCTGCTCCGAAAGCACTCTGCTATCCTCTGCCTGGCCTGGCTTCATCATTTCCTGCTGGGCAGTGGTTTCCTCAATCCACTTGATGAGAGTTCCATGGCAGGCTCGGTAATCTCCCAGAACTTCCTGGATACTTTCTAGTTCAGATTGGCTAGAAGAACAAAGGGAAACTGCTATCAGATACCTTGGTACAAATACAGTAAGGTAAATGAGGTAATTCCCTCTTTAACCCATGTGTCCAGTTGGGCTTGACCACAAATGATCCATCTTTATCTTTGGGGAACAGCGATGTAAGGCTGAGTGAGACCTATGCATGTATCAGCACCCTATGGTCGAAAAAGTGAGTAGAACCAGTCGTGACCTGCTAGCCCTGGATGCTGCCTTGTGGTCTAGCATCCCACAATAATCCTTGTCAAGTTTTTCACCTACGTTGCCAAGAATTACCGGGGTGACCAATAAGGTAGTATTGGCTGTACAGTTCTATTCCCTGATGACAGAGTATCTGTCAGTATAGCACAGCTATGATTTGTGAATCACTATAATTTCTCAGGGCAGAGAGGGGAGAGAAGTGAAAAATAGTCATTATTTCCTGTTACTTCCTGGTTAGACTTCTCTTAGTCTAACCAGCTTTGTGATAATACTCCAATTAGAATGAAAACTTACATGAGCTGTTAAGCTCCTCTCCCTACAAATTTCCCTAACCAGCTTAGCCTCCAAAAGGTGCAGTTTCTATCCTTCCTATTTATATCTGTCATTAGAAGCAGGACCTCTAGTAACAGAGATGAAAAGTTACTGAATTAGCAAATGAGATGAAAGCAAGAAATTCTGTAAAGCTCCATCATGAAAAAATGGCTCATATTTGGATACAAAGCTAATAAAACAAGAACTAGAGTATAGGTTTTGTCCTTGAGAAGTGACCTTTCAAGTCTACATTCCAGTAAGCCACTGACATCAACGTCTTAACTAGAAAAGACCTGGGACACAGGAGAGGCATTACATCTGCTTTGGGATTGCGGGTCTCACTTTTCTATCACTTATCTTGTCCAGAATTTATGTGGTTTTTAAATTTCCACCTCTCCCTATACATTTCTACCTTTAAATATAAACGTACAGATATAACTCTGTTTTTGTTTAAAACCTAGTCCCTGAACTCTGATAGGAGAAAAAGGTGGGGCCACCACTCACCGAATCTCGAGTTGGGCAATGACTCGGTGCCAACGCTCCTGCAGCTGGGAGCCTTTTTCCTGATAGCGCTCCAAATCCAGGTTTCGCTCTGGCGTCAGACGACTCATCTGCTCTGCCACTGCCTTGGCCTTGTCAATTTCCTCATCCAGGACTGAAAACACTGAATTCTTGTCCTTCACATCACTAAACCAGTGCTATGGAAACATAAGTACAGAAACAGGCTGTATATTTTCCGTGCTAAAAAGGAGTCAGTCTAAGGCAGGAAACAAGGACACGGTCTACAGCTAATTCCACATTGTATCTGTGATTGTGCCCTGGAACGTTTGTGGCAGGACTGCCTCCACATGTCATGGTCTCTGCTTTCCTGATACACACTGGGATGTCAAGGACAGACAGTACTCTATAGAGAAATGTGCATAGTACTTGTGTTTGAAACCTGGCTTCCCCACTTATAACATATGAAACCAAGATAAGTCATTTAGCCAGACTAAGTTTTGGTTTTCTCATCTGTAAATGGAAATAAAAATCTCTTCTTGTCCACCTCACAGAGTGACTTGTGAGAATCAAATTAGATAACAGCTAAGTGATTTATAAACTTAGGGCACAACCATTGACTGTATCCAATTAAGCCATGATTTTATTCAGGTGAAAAGGGAAAAAATAAATCGAAAAACATAGTCCTTTCTCTTGCCTTTCTAGCTAGACATACTTCTCAGTCCCTTCTTCTTTGAATACATATTAAAATATGTTTAATATGGCATTCTGCCTTATTCAAATGCTAATTTAAATCAGTGTCATGCCATCCAAAACTGCATTTCTCTGCTAACCCAAAGCGACGAATATGTTAAGTCGGCCTCCTAAGAAACTCAGAGCAACTCACCCGTAATGTCGACCGATGGGCCTCCAGAGCTGAGAGATCTGCCAGTACTGCTTCTTCTTGACTCAGCTTAATCTCATAACCTTTGACCAAGAGTTCGGCATCCTGTATGCTACGTACTATAACATCAACTGTCTTTAACCTATGGGGACAAATACACATTCCTTCATTAACACATGAATTTTAGGAGCCAGGGTTATGTACCTGGAGTGCTATAGAGAGGTTCATAAAACAAAATGACCAAAATCAATGCCACCATTTTTAGATATTGACAGGGTTTTCTGAAAACAAGTAAACATGGTTTTTATGCTGCCAATTTAAGCCAATTCAAAATAAAGTTCTAAGTGGCACTGGAACATGCATACACGTGGTGGACTCATGGAGGAAAGGCATGAAGCCAGAAACCCATTTTACACTATGAAGAGTTTAAGATGTGCTACTCTTCAAAGTCATGGGTAGAGATGGGTGGGAAAAGGGAAGACCTGCAAAGTCTAATACCTAGTTCAACTAAAAACTTTTCGTTTTATTCTTTAGTTTCTCTTCCTTTCTCTTCATTCCATTAAGTATTATTTTCAGAAATATTTAATCAAACAGAAGTGAAGTAAATCATAGTCGTAACATTGCAAATTAATTCCCCATCCATATCACTGGCACTTCTACACTGCAGTCCAAATGAACCTACTTAATGTTACCAGGAACTAAAGCCAAGACCTCTCATTATCAGTACATGCTCTTCAGGATCTATAATCTCTCTCCATTATTCATGAAACACTCTAAGCCTTTCTCTTTCTTATCCCAATGGAAAATATTGCCCTTGGGCCCAAAACCTCAGCTCACTCACTTATTCAGATATACAGTAGAGAGACCATAGACATGGTCCATCTTCTCCACCAGAAGATTCAGTTCTGAGCGCAGAGTTGGGACACTTGAACTAGATGGAGACTGATGGAGAAAGCTGTCACATTTCATAGAAACTGCATCCAAGTCTGACCTCAGTTGCTGTAAATCCTCCTGGGTGTGCTGCCAGGAACAAGACACACATAAAGAGGGAGAGAGAATTGAACAAAAAAGGTAGAAAGAAGTCCTTATTTGTAATAGCTAAATATTGGAAACCACCTAAATGCCCATATACAGGAGGCTGGTTGAATAAACTATGAAACAGCCATATGATGGGGAATTATTCAGCTGTAAATGAAATGAGAAAGATTTCTGGGAATTAAGTGGTTTTAGCATATATTTTTAAGTAGAAGAAGCAAAGTCAACAGTATAGTATGTTATATTTTGTATATAAAAGAAGGGAAAATGAGAAAATATATGTATATATGTTTATGCAAACGGACAGACAGAAAGGATAGCCAGAAACTAATGAGATGAAAAGAATGGAATTGAAAGGATCAAATGAAGGCAAATGGGATAAAAGGACTAGCTAGAGGGCAATACACTTCTTTTTGTATAGATTTGACTTTTAGAACCATGTTAATGTTTTACATTCTTATAAAGAAATAAATAAGGAAAATTGAGGGGTGGCTCTCAAATGGAACACAACAGAAATATATAAGCCTAACTGTATTTCAGATAAATAACATAATCACACTGAAAGGGAAGAAGGGGTATGAACACACGCAAGTAATTTCCAAACATAGTATTCGAACTATAGATATACCTTTAGGTTAAAGACAAAAGGAACTATAAATAAATGTTAAACTCTACTTTGGTAGGTTTGTTTATTGCAGTGAGTTAACAATTCTGAAACTACTATTGGTAAATGCTAGGATTGAACAATAAGTAAATACATTGTGGATAACATAAAGCAGGTTTTTCAGACTTGGGGAAGGGGGTTAAAAATATGGAAAGAGGCTAGAATAATCCCTGTGCTATGGGGTTGGGAACTGGATAGAGACAAATACATACGAATTCGTGTGTGTGTGTGTTCGTGTGTGTGAGAGAGAGAGAGAAATTGAGAGATCAATAAATATACTGACCTATATTTATATCTGTAAACTTACACACATGTATATGTGTGTATATGTAACACATGTGTGTACGTGTGTGTATATGCATATATATATTTGTAAATATATGTTTCTTTTTTTTTCTTGAGACAGAGTTTCACCTTGTTAGGCTGGACTGCAAGGGCACGATCTCAGATCACTGCAACCTCCATCTCCTGAGTACAAGCGATCCTCCTGCCTCAGCCTCCCAAGTAGCTAGGATTATAGGCACGTGCCACCATGCCCAGCTAATTTTTGTATTATTGGTAGAGATGGGGGTTTTACCATGTTGGCCAGGCTGGTCTCCAACTCCTGACCTCAGGTGATCCACCTGCCTTGGCCTCCCAAACTGCTGGGATTATAGGTGTGAGCCACCACACCCGGCCTATGTTTTCTAGCTCTGTCTGCTAAGTGGGCCTATAAGCAATAATAGTCCCACAACAATGAGTACATTCGGCACCCAGATCTTAGCTTCTAAATAATATTCTCTGCCCAAAAGAATCAGAACTCCTTGGAGAAACAGCTGATTTCCAGGGTTGAGACTGGAAAAAGCAAGATGAACCTGGAAGATCTTATTTTGTCAAAAAGAAAGAACTTCGTTGGGCATCGTGGCCCATGCCTGTAATCCCAGCACTTTTGGGAGGCTAAGGCAGGAGGACTGCTGGAAGCCAGGAGTTGGAGACCAGCCTGGGTAATATAGTGAGACTCATCTCTATCTAAAAAAAGAGAAAGAAAGAAATAACTCAAAAAATGATGGGTACATGTTAAAAGGACAAAAAAGCCAGCTTGAAGGGGCTTCCATTGGCTAACTTTGGGAAATTTTGAGCATCAAAACAATGAAAACAATGACAGTAACAAATTACACACCACTGGATAAAATAAGAATCCATGAGTATATATTGACATAAATAAATAATGAAAGAAGAAAGCAAGGGAAGGAGGGAAGAAAAAAAAGGGAGGGAGGGAAGGAAGGAAGACAAACTACAGAAAAGGAAAGAAGGTTGGTTTTTCTTTTTCCATAGAACATAAATGTTTTTTATGTAAAAGGAATGACAGAATTAGAAAAGCAGTTTTTGGCAACTATGATACTAATAATTGATTCAGTCATGAATTAACAATGGATGTTAAAACTAGTTGGTGAAAATTTGATGAAAAATAGGATATTTACATAGTCTCCAGTACCTCCCCATAAGATACTTAGTAATTACAAAGGGAAAATAGGAACCAGAGATCAAAGTTAACATCACCAGTAATGTCACATGCATCCTTATATGACACACTAATGTACCAAGGACACAGTATTACTTCTGTAGGATTCCTGCCAAAATTGTAAGACCTAACACTAATCAGGAAGAAGCCTCAGATAACCACAAACAGAAGGACAAAATATTCTACATTTATTCTACAATATAAATGACCTACACTCATAAAAAAAGTTAAGGTCATGAAAGATGATGGAAAGTTGAGAAACTGTTTCAAGTTGAAGAAATCTGAAGATACACAGCAACCAAATGCAATATGTAATACTGGACTGAATCCTGGACCTTCCTTCTTGGGGTTGCCAGGGATGGATGGTATGAGGATATAAAGGTCATTATTTGATCAACTGATGAAATTTTAATGGCGTGTGAGCTTGGATAGCAGTATTATATCAATGTTTGTTTGTTTGTTTGTTTGTCTGTTTGAGACAGAGTTTTGCTCTGTCACCCAGGCTGGAGGGCAATGGTGTGATCTTGGCTCACTGTAACCTCCACCTCCCGGGTTCAAGTGATTCTCATACCTCAGCCACTTGAATAGCTGGGATTACAGGCACTTGCCACCACGCCTGGCTACTTTTTGTAGTTTTAGTGGAGATGGGGTTTTGCCATGTTGGCCAGGCTGGTCTCCAACTCCTGGTCTCATGCAATCCGCCCACATCAGCCTCCCAAAGTGCTAGGATTACAGACATGAGCCACCACGCCCGACCTGTATCAATGTTAATTTCCTGGTGTTTATCATTGCTCCATGGTTATGTAAGATGCTGTCTTTTTTTTTTTGAAGATGTACACTGAAGTATTCAGGAATAAAGGAGTTTCATGTCTGGAACTTCCTCTCAAGATAAAAAAGGAATATTATTATGTATAATATATAGAATAAAATGATAAAGCAAATGTACAAAAATATTAACATTTGGGGACTCTAGGTGAGACGTATAAGAGAATAAAACTTTTCTATATATCTTAAATTATTTCAAAATAAAGTTTTAAAAAGAAAGGTATTTTAGATGTATGTATATATGTATCTTGAGACAGGGTCTCACTCTTTCACTCAGGCTCGAGTGCAGTGGTGCAGTTATAGCTCACTGAAGCCTCAAACTCTTGGGTTTAAGCGATTCTCCCACCTTGGCCTCCCAAAGCATCCAGTCGACCTTTATTTCTTAGTGTGTCCTATTTTTCAGGGACAAATAGATTTTGTATCACCCTATGGAAAAGTAAAAAGCTTCCACATGAGAATTCCCAGGCTCCTATGATATGCCTTATATTACCTCCCTCTCCACCAGTAAAAATCATACTTCCCTCTCACCCTTCTCTTCAGGTTTGGGGGAAAAAAATAGAAAGTTGGAAAAATCACTCCTCCTCACTGGCCGTTCCTTTCCATCTCCTTTAAGCTCCCAGATCAAATTTAATAGGCTTCATAGAGCTCTCTCATACCATTCTAATTAGAAGTGTTCTAGAAACACTCTAAGTTCCTACAGCAATCTTTGCTTGGAAATATACTAGTTACTATATTCATGACATCTCTTATATCTTATACTGAAGTTTCTAATCATAATTTTAACTTTTTCTTTTTCTTTCACTACACTATAAGCCAAAAAACAAGGAACTTGGCTTACTTTTCTTTGTATGCCTCAGAGGACTTAATAAAGCAATATATATTTGCTGCTTTTACTTCAAGAATACTATCCTACATTTTCATAGTATTTTACTTTTTCAGGAAGCTCATTATATGTACTATACCATTTAATTTTCAAAATAACCCTATATCGCGCATTGCCATCTCCATTTTACAAAAGTAAACTAGGGATGAGAGTTCACTTGCTCAAAGTCGCAGACAGAGCATATATCAGAGCCCACATACAAATCAGAGTCATTCCTTGTATTTACTGGTCATATGACTGAAGGTAACCAAGTCACTGAAAGTAGCACAGGCGCATAAGGGATAGAAGCAAGAGCAGCATCTCTACTAAGCAGTTTCAAAATACATAGCCCAAATATACTGCTTAGAACAATTTACTAGTCTGTTTGCCTTCTCAACTCTGTAGGAAACTAATCAACATTGAGCAATACACATGGAGCTGAAATCACACTTCTCCACAGGTAAAAGACATTTATAGACTGCAAGAAGAACTCCCGAGAAGGACTGTCTTGAGTCTATTGCCTTATTTCTTAGGTTCCATACTCTTGCCATCCAATGAACTCTGAAAGCATTCACTACACAACCAGCATCCACCCTGCTCTTAGGGCTTACTTCTTGCTCTGCAATCCTTAATGCACTGTCCTGCCGGGCATCTCTGTCAGTCCTAGAGCTGGCTAGAGACTGAATTCGTTTGACCACCCTCTGTTCATACTCCTCCAGGCGTAGCCGGATGTTCTTCAACTCTGAAATGTACATCTTGGCCACAGTCTCCTCTTTGTCCTCTGTGAATGAACAAACACAAAAGACCAGTAAGTTCGACATTAGAGATAAGCAGATCTGATATCCTACTGACGAAAGCAAGGCTTTATTTAGGGAATCTTCTGCCTGATTCTACCTGATCCTAAATTTCACATATTGTATACTAATCTTTCAGAGTCCAAACATGTTACAGCCACAAGACAATGTGATAGGTTGATTAGCAGTAACAAACGAAATATCAACAGACCTCTTCTTCCATGATCTGATTTTGAGAATTCATCTATAAGTTCTTCTCTATCTCAAGTTCGTAGCAACTCAAATGGAAAAAAGCAGTGATGCTACTTTCTCATTTATATGAAGGGTTTCATAGCAACCCCTTGAAAGGCTCTCATTCTACTATTCTCTTTCCCTCTTCCCGGTGCACACACCATTCTCCATGGACTTCATCAGGTGCTGGAAGTGGGCTTTACAAGCTTCCACTTCCTCTTCCAAGCGCAAGCGATCAGCCACTGAGAACAGCACAGAGTCACGACTATCCTGCAGAAAGTCTTCACAGTGGGCCTGAAGATTCTTCATAATCTGATGACACTCCCCTGGTGCTGAGGATCGAAGCTAGAAAGAAAAAGCCAGAAGAAATTGCAACAGAATAAAAATATAACACTTTCTCTTTTCCTCCATTTTATTGAAGTAACATATATACAAAACAGTGCACAAACCATAATTGTAAACATGTGGATTTTTATAATTTGAATTCCTCCATTTAATCAGCATTCAGATTAAGAAGCAGAACATTACCAGCACCCCAGAAGCACCCTTTGTGCCCCACTGGACATAACTCTTGATAATTGTTCACAAGTATTCACCTACTACGTATTCTTATGCAAAAGACATGCTTGTCTTACAGAGTGAGAAAAAGCCTGCAACGTTCTACCCTTGCCAAGAAGACCAAAGATGTTACTTATTCTAATTAGGAGTTTCCTTTACCATTCAAATTGCTACTTCTAACTTGCAAGAACCTCAGGTCTCTAACTGTAAAATGGTATCCCTGAGTCCACTTTACTCCATTTGGGTGGGGAAAAGTCTCACAGTAAGGAAAAAAAGCTCCTTCTGAAAAAATCTTGCCAACAGAATGTGAGCCTGGGGTAAGGTTTTCACAATTACCTTTTCTAGGTTCCAGGTCTGTATAAGGTCAAGGTCTTTACGCAGATAGTTCCAAGATATAAGGCTTTTGGTGTTAACATGTAGCTGGTGCCAAAGGGCCATCACCTTCTGATAAGATTGTTCGACCCTAGAAATAACACAGAACTTGACTATTACCTTTGTAAGACTTCAGCTCCACATTAGAGATCTTCTAAGGAAAAATGTGATTGCCTTAGCAGAACTGAGCTTATACGTTGAGCAGAGAAAGGCAACAAGTCAAATACTAACATCCCAGGAATTTTTAGAACTAAATTAACTGAGGCTGGGCGTGGTGGCTCATGCTTGTAATCCCAGAACTTTTGGAGGCCAAGGTTGGAGGACTGCTTGAGCCCAGGAGTTCAAGACCAGCCTGGTTGACATAGTGAGACCTCATCTCTATTAAAAAACAACAACAACAACAACAAAACTAAACTACATTAATTAATTGGGATCTTCAACTTGGATTTGCTATAGCATTATGCATATTATGTTAGCACATATTTAGTAATTTCATAAATGTTACCTGGTTATAATACGATGATTACAAGCCAGAGAGAAGAAATAACCAGAGAGAACAATAATAGGGAAAGGCATAAACAACATCCCATCCAGAATTGTTGAAAAATGATTATATCAATGTTTACAAATTGATTTGCTGTGTTCCAAACATTTATAAAAATGCTAAAATACTGATAAGCTAATAGCAGTTTAAGAAATTCACCTGGTATATAAAAGAAAACTGCATGGCTCACGCCTGTAATCCCAGCACTTTGGGAGGCTGAGGCTGGTGGATCACCTGAGGTCGGGAGTTCAAGACCAGCCTGACCAACACAGACCACCAGGCTGACCAACAATTTTGTATTAAAAATACAAAAATTAGTCAGGTGTGGTGGTAGATGCCTGTAATCTCAGCTACTTGGGAGGCTGAGGCAGGAGAACTGCTTGAACCCGGGAGGTGGAGGTTGCAGTGAGCCGAGATCGTGCCATTGCACTCCAGCCTGGGCAACAATAGCACAACTCCATTTCAAGAAAAAAAAAAAAAAAGAAAACTGCAGTATGAAGGGTTTGAGATTTTTTTTCCCCAAGCATCTCATGTCTAATTCAATCTTGATTTCAAGACTTACGAATACACAAATACACAGACACACTCTTTCTTACACACCCATCATGTTACCTTGAATTTCTTCAAGTTGAGAAAAACATGCAAGATATAAAGAACAGGATGGAAAACCAGAAGCCAGGACATCAGTTAAACAAGAGGCATTAAATCTGTAAGTTTAATCTTCCCTCTCTCCAAAAGTCCCACTAAAATTTCAGTAGAGTTGAAATTCAAAGTTCAGGAAATCTCAAAGAAGAATAAAAATATAAAAAAGCAACAACAACAACAACAATAAAGAAAATAAGAGAACATTAGAAAATCAGTTCAGGAGGTCCAACATTCAACAAATGGGACTTCTTAAAAGCAAGAACTAAAAAAAAAGGAGAATAAAATAATTAAAGAAATAAGGTCAGTGCGGTGGCTCACGCCTGTAATCCCAGCACTTTGGGAGGCCGAGGCAGGCAGATCACGAGGTCAGAAGATAGAGACCATCCTAGCTAACATGGTGAAACCCCATCTCTACTAAAAATATAAAAAATTAGCTAGGTGTGGTGGCAGATGTCAGTAGTTCCAGCTACTCGGGAGGCTGAGGCAGGAGAATGGAGTGAACCCAAGAGGCAGAGCTTGTGGTTAGCCAAGACTGCACCACTGCACTCCAGCCTGGGTGACACAGCGAGACTCCATCTCAAAAAAAAAAAGAAAAAAAAGAAATAATCCAGGCTGGGCGTGGTGGCTCATGCCTATAATTCCAGCACTTTGGGAGTCCAAGGTGGCAAATCACAAGGTCAGCAGTTCAAGACCAGCCTGACCAGCATGGTGAAACCCCGTCTCTACTAAAAGTACAAACATTAGCTGGGTGTGGTGGCGCATGCCTGTAAGTCCCAACCACTCGGGAGGCTGAGGCAGGAGAATTGCTTGAACCCAGGAGGCAGAGATTGCACAGAGCCAAGATTGCGCCACTGCACTTCAGCCTGGCTGACAGAGGGAGACTGTCTCAAATCGTCATCATCTTCATCATCATCATCATCATCATCCAAGAAAAAACTTCCTCAAACCTGAAAGCAAGTTTCTAGTTTGTGTTCATTAGCATAATGAATACAAAAAGACTCAAAGGTACAGCATCCCTTTTCAAGATTAGAGACAAAGAGAAGCATTTAAACACCTCCAGAGAAATAAAGATTTCTTTCAAAAGGTGAAAGTATCAAACTGTTCCGTATCATGATAGTGGTGAAGGATAAACAATTCTAAGCCTTTGTCAAAACCAATAGTACTGCTTATGACAAAAGATAAGTTTTACTATTATGTAAGCCTAAAAAAAAAAAAAAAAGAGAAAGAATGAAAATGGCACTATACATCTAAACAAGAAATCCTGAAAGTTAGAAAGCAATAGAGCAATGATTTCAAAGTTCAAAGTAAAAATAATTTCCAGTCTGGGCATGGTGGCTCACGCCTGTAATCCCAGCACTTTGGAAGGCCGAGGCGGGCAGACTACTTGAGGTCAGGAGTTCGAGACCAGCCTGGCCAACATGGTGAAATCCTGTCTTTACTAAAAATACAAAAATTAGCCGGGCATGGGGACATGCACCTGTGGTCCCAGCTACTTGGGAGGCTGAGGTAGGAGAATCACTTGAGCCCAGGAGGTAGCAGCTGCAGTGTGCTAAGATTGTGCACTCCACTCCAGCCTGGGCAACATATCAAGACTCTATCTTAATAATAATAATAATAATAATAATAATAATAATAATTTCCCAAAAAAATGTATCTTGCCAGTTAGAGGAAGAAGAAGACAAATATTTTCAGATATGAGGTCTCAAAAAATTTACCTCCTACTCAACCTTTTTCAATAAGGCACTGGAGAGTGTAATCCACCAAACCAAGGAGTACACTAATAAATAAGACTTGGAATCTAGGAATCAGTGGGTCCAACATAGCGTGAAATATCACAGAGACAGGACCAAATCAGGCCTACAGAACAGGTACACCCACCCCCCCTCCCCCACACACAAAAGATAGAATGGTCCAGAATAAATGTTTCCAAAAGAAAAATGAAAATTGCCTGTGGTGTTTGGCCATATTGGGAATCCTTTTACAGTAATGTAGGAGAGTTTGGGGACAACTAAGCAAAGTAAAAAACAAAACAATTACCCACTCCAAGGAAACAAAAATTATATAAGAAAGTAAATAAAACAGGGGTCAGGTGCAGTGGCTCATGCCTGTAAATAAAACAGGGGTCAGGTGCAGTGGCTCATGCCTGTAATCCCTGTACTCTGGGAGGCCGAGGCAGGTGGATCACTTGAGGTCAGGAGTTCGAGACCAGCCTGGCCAACATAATGAAACCCCGTCTCTACTAAAACTACAAAAATTAGCCAGTCGTGGTGGCACACTCCTGTAATCCCAGCTACTCAGGAGGCAGAGGTTGTAGTGAGCCCAAACTGTACCACTGCACTCCAGCCTGGGCGACAGAGGGAGACTCGGTCTCAAACCAAAAAAAAAAAAAAAGAAAGTAAATAAAATAATTTATTCGTAAATATATTCACTCACCTACTCATTCATTCTTTCATTCAACAACCAGTTATTGAATACCTGCTATGTGCTGGGAATGGTTCTAAGTGCTAAAGATACAGAAGTAAACAAAATGGACAAAAATCTCTAATAGGAGAGAATAAACAAACACATAATCTGTTAGGCAATATTAAGAGTTCTGAAGAAAAATAAAATGAGAAGAAGACAGAGAGTGGCATGCAGTGAGTGGGGATGGTGGTCCATGAGGGTTCTAAGATAAACTGAACAAAGTGAGGGAGTGAATCATGTAAATATCAGAGGCAAGCAGGAAGTCCAAAGGCCCCGAGGCAAGAATATGTGGTCTGTGTGTGAGAAACAGAGGAAAGACCAGAGTGACTGCAGCTAAGTACAAGCAAGGAGAGAGGCAGAGGATGAGTTCCGAGACAGAGACGTAAGGCACAGTCGCCTCACAATAGTCCCCTAGAGTACGATCTGGCTCAGCTTTAAACAATGCATGTACTAATAAAACAAAAAATATCAACTTAAACAAAAACTGTGACATAACTACATTTGGAAGATGAAAGAAGCGTATGCATATATGCATGTAGAGAAAGCTAAATGTTAATTTCCTAGAGTAAAAAGTTAATAGATAATTTCTGAAGTTGAAAACAAACAAGGAAATAGCAGGAAAAAATTACATTCAGAAATGTGGGTTTATAACCCAGCAAAATCTGCTGAAAACAGTTGACTCTGGAAAGTGGAACTTTGGGACAGGAGAGGTGATAGCTAATATTTATTATAATAAACTTTATAGTATAACCCAGCTTTCTAAAATATGTACATAAACATATATATATTTTATATATATAAAAAATATGTATATATATATATGTATTTTTTTTTTTTGAGACAGAGTCTCACTCTGTCACCCAGGCTGGAGTGCAGTGGCGCAATCTCGGCTTACTGCAACCTCCACACCCTGGGTTCAAGCAATTCTCCTGCCTCAGCCTCCTAAGTAGTTGGGACCACAATTGTGCACCACCATGCCAGGCTAATTGTCTGTATTTTTAGTAGAGACGGAGTTTCATCATGTTGCTCAGGCTGGTCTCGAACTCCTGACCTCAAGTAATCCAAAAACCTCAGCCTCTCAAAGTGCTGGGATTACAAGCATAAGCCACGGTGCCTGGCCCATAAATTACTTTAAAAAAAATTAAAGAAAATTTAGCTGCCATAAAAAAAAAAAAAAAAATTCGGAGTCTCAGGCAGAGAGAGTCATGGCAGGACAAGCATTTAGAAAGTTTCTTCCACTCAGGCCGGGTGCAGTGGCTCATGCCTGTAATCCCAGCACTTTGGGAGGCCGAGGCAGGTGGATCACGAGGTCAGGAGATCAAGACCATCCTGGCTAAAATGGTGAAATCCTGTCTCTACTAAAAATACAAAAACTTTAGCCGGGCATGGTGGTGGGCGCCTGTAGTCTCAGCTATTCAGGAGGCTGAGGCAGGAGAATGGCATGAACCCAGGAGGCGGAGCTTGCAATGAGCCGAGATCACACCACGGCACTCCAGCCTGGGCAACAGAGCAAGGCTCCATCTTAAAAAAAAAAAAAAAAAGTTTGAAAGGAGTGCTGCTGAAACTGTAACCAAAGGAGGCATTATGCGTCCAGAAAAATCTTAAGGAAAAGTATTTCAAGCAACAGTAGTTGCTGTTGGGTCAGGTTCTAAAGGAAAGGGTGGAGAGATTCAACCAGTTAGCATGAAAGTTGGAGATAAAGTTCTTCTCCCAGAATATGGAGGCACCAAAGTAGTTCTAGATGACAAGGATTATTTCCTATTTAAAGACGATGACATTCTTTGAAAGTACGTAGAATGAAATAAGTCACTATTGAAATGGCATCAACGTGAAGCTGGCCATTCCACTGAAGTTCTGAAATCTTTCATCATGTAAATAATTTCCATATCTCTCTTTTATAATAAACTAATGATAACTAATGACCCCCCCAAAAAATCAACCTTCTTTTTTTTTTTTTTGAGACGGAGTCTCCCTCTGTCGCTTAGGCTGGAGTGCAGTGGCGCAATCTCGGTTCAAGCGATTCTCCAATTCTACTGCCTCAGCCTCCCGAGTAGCTGGGATTACAGGCAACTGCCATCATGCCTGGCTTTTTTTTTTTTTAATGTATTTTTAGTAGAAACGGGGTTTCACCATGTTGGCCAGGCTGGTCTTGAACTCCTGACCTCAAATGATCTGCCTGCCTCGGCCTCCCAAAGTGCTGGGATTACAGGCATGCGCCACTCTGCCCAGCCCAATCTTTTTTTTTTGGAGACAGAGTCTCGCTCTGTCGCCCAGGCGGCTGGAGTGCAGTGGTGTGATCTCAGCTGACTGCAAACTCCGCGTCCTGGGTTCAAGTGATTCTCATGCCTAAGTCTCCCGAGTAGCTGGGACTACAAGCATGCGCCACCATGTCCAGCTAATTTTTGTATTTTTAGTAGAGACGGGTTTTACCATGTTGGCCAGGCTGGTAAAAAAAAAATCAATCTTTTGAGAGTAAGCTATTTATAAGCAAGAGTTCTTTAAAAAAGAAATATCACTGAATATACTCTAGTTGAACAGAAATATTTATTGAAGATCTACTATGTGGCTGGCAGTAGGAGACTTGATATCTCCAATGAGAAGCCTCTCCCAGGAGGAACTTTACAACTGTGTGCAAGAAGATCACAAATGCACACTCATCCCTCCATTGGTTCACCGAGGCCAACAGCAGAGGTGGGTGTACCAGTGGCAGCTGAGCCAAGTTACCTGCTGGCCATCTCAATGGCATCCTTATTGGGTGGGGGAATGAGGAAGCAGACTGATGGCACCATTGCCTCATTCCCTGTGGGGCTGATCACTTTCCATTTGGTCCGCTGAGAATTATCTTCTAGCACACATTCATCATTTTTGCAAATAGTAATCTGAAGAGATAAATTTACCAGTTATTGCTAATGGATAAAGCAACAACCCATTATTACCTGGTGCCTCATCCCAAAACTATCAAAACCTTAAGAAAAAAATCTGCTTAAGAAAATTTCTGCTATCACTTAGTAAGGGCTTCTCATTTTTGCCAAAAGATAATGGGTATAAATCTACAACACAGGAAAAACTGTGACACCAAATAAATCAAGGAAACAAATATGTATTAAATACATGTTACATGTCAAGTAACCCAGAATATGAAAATTATAATAAGATTATAAAGGCTCAAGAGTGATCTCAGCACAAAAATCTACTAGAGTAAAAACTAATGGAACGCGAATAATCAAAACATTGTTTTTATGATATTTCCTCTCCCCCCTTCCTATACCACCCAAACCCCTGAAAACGTTTAAGCATTTTGGAATTATCAAGTCTTTCTCTTGAGAGACAAGTGATCAAGATTATTATCCCTAACTTATAGGCAGAAATATCGAGACACACAAAAGTGCAGTCCCATTTTTAAATTTTTATTTTTTTTCCATTTTTTAATTAATTCATTCTTTTGTATAATAAGTATTTCTTGAGTGTCTACTCTGTGCTAGGACACTGGAGATAAAGACAGTATAATTGGCCAGGCACAGCAGCTCACATCTATAATCCCAGCACTTCTGAAGGCTAAGGTAGGCAGGCCGCTTGAACCCAGGAGTTCAAGACCAGCCTAGGTAACATAGTAAAACCTCATCTCTACAAAAAATACAAAAATTAGCTGGGTATAGTAGTGCATGCCTGTAGTCCCAGCTACTCGGGAGGCTGAGGTGGGAGGATCACCTGAGCCCGAGGAGGTCAAGGCTGCAGTGAGCCATGATAGTGCCACTGCACTCCAGCCTGGGCACAGAGTGGGACACTATCACAAAACATAAATAAATAAATAAAAAGGTACAGTGGTAAGCAGACAAACATAGTCTGTATTTCCACATATTCTGGTGGTGTATGTAGTTATAATACTGTGTGACAAATGCAATTTACCAGGGAATAAAGGATATGACCCAGTCTTGGCTAGAGGGGTAAAGACAGATTACTTAAGAACTTAAAGCCACCTTAAGGAGTTTAGGCTTTTTCCCAAGAGCAATGAGTAATTATTATAAGATTTAAGCATAGGATTGTAATTTAAAGAAAAAAAAAAAAAGGCTAAGCGCGGTGGCTCATGCCTGTAATCCCAGCACTTTGGGAGGCTGAGGTGGGCAGATCACGAGGTCAGGAGATCAAGAACATCCTGGCTAACATGGTGAAACCCCGTCTCTACTAAAGATACAAAAAATTAGCTGGGAGTGATGGCATATGCCTGTAGTCCCAGCTACTTGGGAGGCTGAGGCAGGAGAATTGCTTGAACCCAGGGAGCGGAGGTTGCAGTGAGCTGAGATGGTGCCACTGCATTCCAGCCTGGGCCACAGAGCAAGATTCCATCTCAAAAAAAAAAAAAAAAAAAAAAAAGAACATGCTGGTGGTAGGATCCTTTGTGCACTAAATGGGGAGGCTGATACAATAATCCAAGTGAAATAAACTTATGCCTTTTATTTTTTCTGAGACAGGGTTTTACTCCTGTAACCCAGGCTGGGGTGCAAATGGCACGATCCTGGCTCACTGCAACCTCCGCTTCCTGGGCTCAAGCGATTCTTATAGAGACATAGTTTCACCATGTTGCCCAAGCTGGTCTCAAACTCCTGAGTTCAAGTGATCCACGCGCCTCGGCCTCCTAAAGCGCTGGAATTACAGGCATGAGCCACTGCACCCAGCTGCTTATGCTTTTAGGGAAATATTAGCAGGGACAGAAAAAGTATGTTTAAGGGATATTTACAAATTAGTACAAACTTGATGGTCCTATTAGCTGTGGAGGATAAGAGGGGTGGGTGAGTCAAGGATATCTCCCAGGTGCTACAAAGTACCATCTCTGTCAACACTTAGGCAACTGAGTAGATAATGATGCCAATCACTGAGGCAGGGAGCAGGTCAAGATTATAGGATTGAAGTTTTTAGTTTTTTTTTTTTAAATGATAGGAGAGATTTCAGCATGTTTAAATTTTAAAAACTCTGTAATTTGATCTTTCCTTATCATCATAACCCTAACTGAAGGCTTCCCTTCTTTCTTCCTTCCCTCTGTGTCCCAGAAGTACCCTTTCTACCTCCTCACCTCGATCTGCCGATAGTCACAGATGGCCTTAACAGAAATGGTGCTCTTTAACAAATGGTCTGGACTGCGTGGTTTTAGCTGAACAATGGTTTTTGATCTCCCGACAAGACTGGCAACGGAACTCTTGGACTGTATAAGCTGCTCCTTTTCATCCTACAAAATGAGAAGAAAAACAAAATGACATTAATGTTGCTACTCAGGGTGACTAAGTTAACAAAGAAAACTGAATACTCCACTCCCTCAGAGAATGTCATCTCTCAGTTAAGTAGGGATGGTTGGTGGAGCCATCTTAAAGACTTACACAAGGATAAAGAAAAAAGGAGAGAATGTTTCTGTCTTCTACCAAGTGCTTTTGCACTCAAACTTTGCAGCTTTCTCCCTGTGCCACTTTCTATGAACCATAAAGTCACATGCAAAAACCAAAATAAAAACAAATACTTCTAGCTTCCAAATACAGCTATATAGCTAATAAAAAATTTATCTAAACATGATTCAGAGAACATGAAAGTTAAAATCAATAATTGGTATATTATTATTAGTCAGTTTCTCACTGGTAGAAACCAGTTCTTCCCTTTTTGCTTAGGAGAAGCTAGTTATACTTATTTAAATTTTTAAAAATAATTTTATCTCCCAAGCTCTACTCTAAATATTTTATTCTCCTAAATTGAGTCAAGCTTTCTTGAGAAAGATCTTAGCTCTTCAACCAACAATGCTGTTGGTGAAGGTATCATGACAAATGATTTAGGGTTTACCTCTCAGTATTTGCTGTGCTATATTCACATAAATTTGATTGGTTAGAAAGAAGTATCATGCAAAATTGAAACTCTCAAATCTCTGCAAATCCAATAATCTTAAAAACGAATAAACTTCTTGTTAACAAAATTGGTAGTAAACCATTACCAATTCCATTAAAGAGTAAAAGATAAACTTTATCCATTAACCCAGATGTTTCAAGCCCATTTTGAGGTGTAAAAGTCTCCCCAGAAGATGGCTTTCTTAGGATGGATGTAGATGCGATGAGAGTAAAGAGTTAATAATGTTAGGAAATGCCATTAAAGAACTAAGAATATGCAAGTAAAGAAAAAGAAATGCTTAAATAAACTACCTGTGCCTGTCCCCGGGAGCATGATTGGAAGAAATACAACTTTAACTTATTAGTTAAGAAAGAGGAATGGAATATATCAGGGAGACAGCCACATTTCCATACTTGAGAGCTGGTCTACCCATTTCAGTTTCCTTGAAATAAGATGTCAATTTCTGTCTAACCCACAGCCAAACAGCTCAAGCTCCAGAGACCAAGTGCTCAGCGTGGTAAAAGTTCTGAAAAGAACCAGAAGCCAGGACAGATGCTCCCGAACCTGACGGACAAGCTGAGGAGCAGACCCAGGTGACTCCATGCCCCGATGACGCCGCCAACCCGATGACCCTGACCTGGAGAGGAGGGAACAGAGCAGCGACCCTCGAGAAGAGAAGATATGACAACCATTGCAGAGGAGTTACCCTACGACAGAAGGTACTCTGTGGGAGGGAGGAGATAATAGCCAAGGATTATATTCCTCCTTCATATTTGTAGTACCTCCGAGAGAGATATTTTATAGACAACATCTGAAAAGTCAGGTTTTCATCCTTCATTCCAAATTAAATTAACAGACTATTTGCCCAGGTGAATGTAAAACCACTCATAGGTTTACAATACCTGAAAGTGTAAAAAAATAAAAATAAAAAAACCTTATATTCACAAATGCTCAAATCTTACCCACTAAAAAAAAATGAACTGTTTTGGGTTATTCTAGTTCTCTTATTTAGACTTTTCTATTGAAATGCGAGGTTCCCTTTGCTTCTCACAAAGGAAAAGTAAGTTCCTTATTACATATACATTTCTATCTTAATTTGAGATGTAGCTTGAGCCTTGTCTTGCCAACTCTGTGTAATATACATTCACTAAACACAAGTAGTCTTTCTGCTAATTACCAGCACTCCTGAAGAAATAATTCATTGGAGAAAATGAATATAAAATTGATTTGAACTAAATACTGAATATAAAACTATTTCTTAAAAATTAATATTGCTTCATAAATAACTGCACAAATATTACATTACATGTTTCTTTGAATTAAAATCAATTTTAATTATCATTCAAAAGAAAACTACGAAGGAGGAAAATTTTGACTTAGGTGTATTTCTTTTTTTTTTTTTTTTTTTTTTTAGTTCTTTTTTTGCATAAGAGAGTAACAAAGAATTTGATAAACTAATCCCCTTCAACCTTTTTTTCATGCTCAACACCTCATCCTTGGCTCCAACTATTACATTAAAACAGGAAAAATGCAAGGAAAGTATAAGGAGCTCAAAGTGGCTCAGAGGAGAAGACTAGGCCTTTACTTCAATAACATACCCAAAGAAATCTTATTAGCAACTTCTTTAAAAGAAAAGGAAAAAAGGAAAGAGACAGAACCACATCGATTAAACTCTATTTGAATGTAAGCCAAACTTTATTACAACAACGGCCCACTGCCCTGGAGCTTTCAAGGATATAAACAGCAGCAGCTGATATGGTTTAGGCTCTTTCCCAGAAGTAATCATCCCCACTGAGGCAACACCCACCATGGAGTCCTGGAGCAGGTCTTCAAGGCGGGATAAGCTGGTGTTGTGGTCACAGGAATATTTTCGTTTAATGGAATCTTGGAGGTTCCTCAAGAATGACTCCAGCTCTCGTGCATCACTGAAGAACTATGGGAATACAAAGGAAGGATGCCTTCTGCTCAAAACATCAGAACACCCGGAATGTTAACTGAGAAAGAACAATTTTACTACGCAGAGCTTAGCAAAGCTGATTACACCCTACTGGATTAGTGAGAGTTCATTACAAGGACCACTGAAACATAAACCGAAGGGCTTAAAAAGCCATGCAGCAAAATATTAGTGTTGACTACCCCAAACCCTACCCTATAGAAAAGTTAGTTGTTTCACCCCCTCAGAAATCACTGCTCTTTCCTCTTGACTTCTGGCTAGGTACAGCATTTGGCTGTGGGGTGTATTTCATGAAAAACCTAAGGTTGAGTGATCAAATGTTTCAATTCATGTTATGAAATAATCAGGGAGACTATTTAATTTAGGGCAAAAGGCCGGGCATGGTGGCTCATGCCTGTAATCCCAGCTATTTGGGAGGCTGAGGTGGGCGGATCATGAGGTCAGGAGATCAAGGTCTTCTTGGCTAACATGGTGAAACCCCGTCTCTACTAAAAAAAAAAAAAAAAAAAAATTAGCTGGGCGTGGTGGCGGGCGCCTGTAGTCACAGCTACTCAGGAGGCTAAGGCAGGAGAATGGCGTGAACCCGGGAGGCAGAGTTTGCAGTGAGCCGAGATTGCGCCACTGCACTCCAGCCTGGGCGACAGAGTGAGGCTCCGTCTCAAAAAAAAAAAAAAAATTAGGGCAAAAACAGAGATAATGGCTTATTTCCTCCTCCCACCTCACCTGAAAATAAGCAGTACTTTTTTTTTTTTTTTAAGACACTTGCTCTGTCACCCAGGCTGGAGTGCAGTGGTGTGATCTTGGCTCACGGCAACCTCTGCCTCCCAGGTTCAAGTACTTCTCCTGCTTCAGCTTCCCAAGTAGCTGGGACTACAGATGTGTACTACCACACCCAGCTAATTTTTGTATTTTTAATAGAGAAGGGGTTTCACCATGTTGGCCAGGCTGGTCTTGAACTCCTGACCTTAAGTGATCTGCCCGCCTTGGCCTCCCAAAGTGCTAGGATTACAGGCATGAGTCACTGCGCCCAGCCAGCAGTACATTCTTTCATGTTCTGACAGATGGAAAAAAGAAAAAAAAGATCATGATATTTTACAGCTCCTCCCATCAAGAGGTGGAGTCTATTTCTCCTCAACTTGAAGTTAGGCATAGCCACACGTCTGGCTTTAACCAAAGGCACATTAATAAATGTGACAGAAGCAGGAAAAAAGGGCTTGTGCTCTAGGACTTGCTCTCTCTTTCTGCTTGTGAAACACAGCCACGTTGTGAAGAAAGCTGCTGGATGCTAGAGACACACGGCTTGGTGCTCCAGCACCTAGCCAACTCTTGGACATGAGCAATGCCATTTGGGACCAACCAGCCCCCAGCCTGTCTGCAGCCATGAGTAAGACAGGCAAGATAAGATGAACCACTTCGCAAAGCCCTGCCCAAAGTGCTCAGCTACTGAATCACGAGCTATCTAAATGACTATTGTTTTAAGCAACTAAATTTTAAGGTGGTGGTTTATACAGCAAACGCACACTAATGCAGATGTGTTTGTAACCTCACCTTCAACATACATATGTACACACACACACAAACACAGAAATCCATCATACCTGAAAATAAGCAGTATTCTCTTTCACATGCTGCTCAACACACAGGCACAGCTGCTTCATCCACTGCAACTGGGACTGGACAGCAGCACTATACGCCTGCAATAAACAAGCACACAGACAGAAGGGCATGAGTTTAACAGACTCAATATATATATGTGCAATACTATTTTCCAAGTACAACTCTGCTAATGATAGAGAAGCCAACAGAAAAGATGTGGAGATACTTGACTGGCATCTGCTCAATGCTTCCCATGTGTAAGAAGTGTTCCTTTAATCCAAAATGGTTTTGTTAGAGGGGGTTACATAGAAAAGGCCTCTTCCACACTCAGTTGTAAGTAAATGATCCAGGCAGCAAAACCCAGGCATAAATTCCTCCAGAATTCTTCCACTGTTTCTCTTCTTTTGGCAAAGGCACCACATCAACAAGAGTCAAGTCAGGATCTGTCTGGACAGTTACTTGAAGAAATACAGTCCAAGTCCGCTTTTCCTCTGAAAGCTGGGAGCCAATGTACCTTCTATCGTTTCTCTCAGTAGTCTCCTTAGACTAACAGAAATGTTTGCAGGCTTTTGAGGGATACAGGAACAGTCAGGAATGAAAACAGAGAAGACCCAAGACAAATGATCCCTGACACTTCCTCCAAGTCTTTCAGTTGAACAAAGTCTCTAATTTGAACACTTTTATAACAACAACCTCTCAGCATTTGACCTCCACATATTCTCGAGTCACACACCTCCACTGTCTGCTTGGCTGGGTGGTTCTCAAGTGAAAGTAGTTCTGCTGTATCTTGTAGAGAACGAAACACATCCTGTTTCTCCTCCAGTTCCATTGTCAACTCCTGAAAATTGAATTCAATTTTACAGAATAAGTGCTCTTGGCAGTGGGTAGTGGCTAGCATAAATAAAAGCTGTGTTCCCTCCCTTATTTATTTATTTATTTATTTATTTATTTTTTGAGACAGAGTCTTGCTCTGTCTCCCAGGCTGGAGTGCAGTGGCGCAATCTTGGCTCACTGCAAGCTCCGCCTCCCGGGTTCACGCCATTCTCCTGCCTCAGCCTCCCAAGTAGCTGGGACTATAGTTGCCCACCACCACGCCTGGCTGATTTTTTGTATTTTTAGTAGAGACAGGGTTTCACCATGTTAGCCAGGATGGTTTCGATCTCCTGACCTCGTGATCTGCCCGCCTCGGCCTCCCAAAGTGCTGGGATTACAGTTGTGAGCCACCACGCCCGGCCTTCCCTCCCCTATTTTAAAGGAACCTACAATATAGAATTGGTGGCAAAATGAGATGTATAAACAGTGCATGCCAGAGGATTGCAGAGAAGGGCACAAACACTAGAATTACTGGAAAATATTCACAAAGGACATGGGACCTGACCCATATGTGAGTAAAATGCGGGAACACAGAATGAGCATTGGACCACAGAAAGGAGATAACTTGTCTGGAGTGGACAGTTCCTGCACATCAGCACCCACACCAGTACATGACACACCAGGACATGGGTATCAGTGACTGGCTGGCTTTGCTTAGAGTATTCAGCCTACAATGCTCTCTACTGACTAAATTCTATTAACTGCAGGACCCAAGTTAAATGCCAGCTCTTCTGTGAAGCTGGATACTGATCCTTACTATGCTTTCAGAGCACTTTCTTTATATCTCTGTTATAGCCTAATTTCAGTTCTCACATAGCCTGTTTATTGTATTATAGTATGCATTCTTCCTTCTAAAGTATCTAAAGTGCATGTTAAAAACAAAAACAAGAAACTCCCTATTTGCATAGTTTACAAAATCTTTAAAAATCTTCTGAGTGTGAAAATACTAAAAGTAGCAAAAAATAATCCTAACTTGTCTACATCTTTCAGTGAAAAGAATAAAAAGCAGTGTCCTATTGTCCAATGTTAAATTTCCCTTCCCATTTTACAAACAAAGAGATTGAAACAAAAAAGTTAATAAATGAATAAAGGAGAATTCAGAAATTTGTGGAAAGTCCAGAGTATATCCCAGTTAAATAATACTATACTAAATGCTTTGTCTAGGTTAGCTTATTAAATCTTAATCTTTTATACAACCCTTTGGGAATACGTGCTATTAGGGAAGGGGATAGCTTCGAAGTGGTGCTATTATCTCATTTTATGGAGGTCCAGAGAGATCAAATGACTTCCCAAGGTTATAGAGCTAGTTAGTGGAAGAATAAGAATTTGAACTTAGGTACTCCAAAGCCTATAATCTTAACCACAAAGCTGTATTGCTTCTGAAATGACTCAATTTACAGATTGCTGCTGTATTCACCCAAGACACTGCCATTCTAAATGCATTCTAGATAAATTAATTCTAAGGTTCTACTGTCCCTCTCTCCATTTACACTTCTCACATGCATGGATGCACTGAGTAGGGCCCCTATTTCTATCTAGCAGAATGCAACTCCAGCCACCCAAGCTTTCAGCAGACTAGCCCCTGTCTCCTTCTGCTGCTGTCAAATAAATATTACAGGCCTGCTGCTGTGCTAGACTCACAGAGAAGTAATTTCTCTTGGCTGAGATATTGGAATTGTTGTCACTCCAGTCATATGCTAGTTCCTCCTCCTCCTTCTCATTCAACCAGATCAACTCAGCTGTAGCTCTGGAAACAAATTTATGTAGGCTCTGAAGGTGCCTCATCCGGAAGCTAGAAGTTTCCTAGACAAAGCAAGGATTATAAGGTTAGACTGCTAGCCTTTGTGTAGAAGATAGCACATTTGCATCAAAGTAGAGAATAACTCAGGAAATGAATTTGCTTTTAATCTCTGGATTTTTCCCCATGGATTCAAGTTTTGTACAAGTTTGATATAAGACTCCCAGAACTCTTGTCAATCCTAAGTAGAAGACAGAATTCATAAGGCCTTTGTGGTGCTCCCTGGATAAAGAATGGTCCTGGGCTGTCCTACTCTGGACACTCTTGATAAACAGGGATGAAAAACAATAGATCAGAGGGAAAGTCCCCTCTCTACAATCTCAAACTTTTAGTTTTGGTCTCTCAAAGTGCATATAGCCACAGGTTTGCTGAAGCACAATACCTAGGATAGGTTATATTTATTTAAAACTTTTAAGAACAGTAGCTTCTGACCCGTTAAGAAAACTGAGAAAATGTTATAATACATATGAATAAGTGCATAGTAAATGGCATAACCTAATAAACAGAAAACCAAAACAGGGCCAAACCAGGAGATTTCTGAATTAGGTAAGAGAATTGATTGGGAGACACCAGACTCTGTATAAGCAGAACATAAGAGAATCGGCAGAAACTTACCTTCAATTTACAATACTGTGTCTCCAGCTTTCCAAGAGTTTCAGCATAGCTGGTACGGAAATTCTGGGACATCTTTCCCTGATTAGAAAAGAACGAAATAAAAATACATTAGAAAAAGAGTAAGTAAACTATGTGTTATGGTTGCAACTATGCAAATATTATGTCTAGATAGAGATATGGATTGGTTGCTCTAAGAAAACAGAAGCTTGGACAACAAATTTCTGAGTCATATTTTATAGCTTGGAGCAGCACTAAGTGGGCAACAGTTGAGCAGGGTAATTACAAACAACAGACCTCACTATCCTGTGTTTCCAGCAATTCTGGTAGCTAGCTTCTAAGCAAAACCAATGCCTGATGATTCCCACTCAATTGTTTTTTTGAAGGGAAGAGTTGAAATATAAAATGGGAAGATAGAACAGAGACTGAAGGAGAGAGAAAACTGTGTCAATAGTTTCTCTATACCAGCTCTCAACTGCAGGCAGATGGGGAAGCAAAAAGTGCCTGAATTTATAGAGGCAGAGGGCTTGAGTTTGGATCTGCATCCATTACTTACTAATTCTGACCTCTCAGCTTCTAGTATCACTTTTCTTTTTAGTAAAAAGGGGTTAATAAAAATACTTTTCTCACAAGTTTATTTCAAAGATTAACAGAAACACTTCATGTGAAAAGGGAATTTGTCATAAACCACTCTTCATCATCATTATTCTATTCCAGAGCACCCTCGTACTTCGATACAGCTTTATTGTGTGCACTGTCCTTTCATCCGTTCCATCCACGTACCTCCTGTAATGTGGATTCTGAAGGCTACGCACCTCATACAACCTGGCCTCCTTGACACTTGAGCCCAGCTCTTCTACACTGGTATGGATGTGCTGCTGCGTTTCTAACTGCAACTCCACACTAGGCAGGTCATTGCCCCACTCTGCTCGTTCCAGTTTCATCTGAAAAAGAAAAAACATATACCACATAATTTACTGAATGGCTTGGTAGGAAAATGGTCAGAATCAACGTTTGGACAAGGAAGCAAGGGGTAGAGGACTGAGCAAAAGACATCTAGGCCATCTCCTTCAATCTACAGCCTCTTACAAAAAAATTACGCCATCATCACCGCTAAGGAGCAGGAGAGCAGAGCTCACCAATTATACAATAGAGCAGCTTTTCCTGCTGCATTATTAGTATACATTCCTAGAGCAATCAACCAGAAGGGAAAGGGAACTTCACAGGCTTAAAATGCTTAACTTTACACTTTAGGCATTTCTCTTTATGGAGTCTTTTAATTTCACAATCATAACTGATATAACAAAGAAGTATCTGAAAATATTTAGCTTCATTCATGACGTCAACTACTGGCCAATGGAAGATAATTTCAAAACAGTTTATTTTGGGATATTTTTATTTATTGCTACATAGGGAATATATTATGTGGACATAGGAAGAATTTAATATAAAACAAAAGGGTTAGAAAGATAAGGGCAATATCAAATTTGAACCACTATCATAGAACACATGTAAATAGGGCCCCTTGGAACTGCAGAATACAGTAGTCTTGCTTAAACTTAAGAGTTATGATTGCCGGGCACAGTGGCTCATGCCTGTGATCCCAGCACTTTGGGGGGCTGAGGTGGGTGGATCACCTGAGGTCAGGAGTTCAAGACCAGCGTGGTCAACATGGTGAAACCCCATCTCTACTAAAAATACAAAAATTAGCCAGGCGTGGTGTTGGGCACCTGTAATCCCAGCTACTCGGGAGGCTGAGGCAGGAGAATTGCTTGGCTTGAACCCAGGAGGCAGAGATTGCAATGAGTGGAGATCGTGCCACTGCACTCCAGCCTGGGTGACAGAGTGAGACTCTGTCTCCAAAAAAAAAAAAAAAAAAAAAAAAGGTTGAGGCCAGCGAAATGGCTCACGCCTGTAATCCCAGCACTTTGGGAGGCCAAGGTGGGCAGATCACCTGAGGGTCAGGAGTTCGAGACCAGCCTGGCTAACACAGTGAAACCCTGTTTCTACTTAAAAAAAAAAAAAAAATTAGCTGGGCATGGTGGCACATGCCTGTAATCCCAGCTACTAGGGAGGCTGAGGCAGGAGAATCGCTTGAACCCTGGAGGCAGAGGTTGCAGTGAGCTGAGATCGCACTATTGCACTCCAGCTTAGGCAACAAGAGTGAAATTCCATCTCAAAAAGAAAAAAAGTTATGATCAACAACAAAAAATGAAGAATAAACTCCTCTGTTAATGAGAGAATTAAAAAAAAAAAACAGATTTACCCTATAAAAAATATAAGACATTCTTCACAGAAATAGAAAAAACAATTCTAAAATTTATATGGAACCACAAAAGACCCAAAATAGTCAAAGCTACCCTGAGCAAAAAGAACAAAACCAGAGGAATCACATTACTTGACTTCAAATTATACTACAGAGCTATAGTAACCAAAACAGCATAGTACTAGCCTAGAAATGGACACATAGACCAACGGAACAGAATACAGAACCCAGAAACAAATCCATACACCTACAATGAACTCATTTTCAACAAAGGTGCCAAGAACATACACTGGGGTAAGGACAGTCTCTTCGATTAATTGTGCTGGGAAAACTGGATATCGGTATATAGAAGAATGAAACTTGACCCGTCCCTTGTCATATACAAAAATCAAATCAAAATGGATTAACACCTTAAACTATGAAACTACTACAAGAAAATACCGGAAACACTTTCCAAGACACTGGTCTAGGAAAAAATTTCTTGAGTAATACCACACAAACACAGGCAACCAAAGCTAAAATGAACAAATAGGATTACATCAAGTTAAAAAGCTACTGCACAGTGAATCAACAAAGGAAAGGGACAGGCTGGGCATGGTGGTTCACGCCTGCAATCCCAGCACTTTGGGAGGCCAAGGCAGGTGGATCACCTGAGGTCAGGAGTTTGAGACCAGCCTGGCCAACATGGTGAAATCCCATCTCTACTAAAAATACAAAATTAGCTGGGTATAGTGGCGCGTGCCTGTAATCCCAGCTACTTGGGAGGCTGAGGCATAAGAATTGCTTAGAATCCAGAGATTGCAGTGAGTCAAGACTGCGCCATTGCACTCCAGCCTGGGAGACAGAATGAGACTCTGTCTCAAAAAAAAAAAGGCGGGGGGACAACCCACAGAATGGGATAAAATGTTTGCAAACTACTCATCTGACAAGGGATTAATAACTGGAATATATAAGGAGCTCAAACAACTCTACTGGAAAAAAAAATCTAATAATCCAATTAAAAATGAGCAAAAGATTTGAATCGACATATCTCAAAAGAAGACACACAAATGGCAAACAAGCATATGAAAAGGTGCTCAACATCACTGATTATCAGAGAAATGCAAATCAAAACTACACTGTGATATCATCTCACCCCACTTAAAATGGGTTTTATCCAAAAGACAGGCAATATACAAATGCTGGTGAGGATATGGAGAAAGCCTTGTATGCTGTTGGTGGGAATGTAAATTACTACAACCACTATGGAGAACAGTTTGGAGATTCCTCAGATCACTAACAATAGAGCTACCGTATGATCTAGCAATCCCACTACTGGGTGTATACTCAAAAGAAAGGAAATCAGTGTATCAAAGAGATCTGCATTTTCACATGTTTGTTGCACCACTATTCACAATAGCCAGAATTTGGAAGCAACCTAAGTGTCCATCACAGATGAATGGAGAAAGAAAATGTGGTACTTAAACACAATGGAGTACTATTCAATCATAAAAAAGAATGAGAACCTGTCATTTGCAACAATATGGATGGAACTAGAGGTTATTATGTTAAGTGAAATATGCTAGGCACAGAAAGACAAACATTGCATGTTCTCACTTAGTTGTGGGATGTATAAATCAAAACAGGCTGGGAAGAGTAGTACGGGGTCAGAGGGAGGTGGGGATGATTAATGGGTACAAAAAAAAAATAGTTAAAGAATGAATACTACCTAGCATCTGATAGAGCAACAGGATGACTACAGTCAAAATAATTTACTTGTACATTTTTTTGTTTCAACTTTTATTTTTGAGATGGGGTACTGCTCTGTTGCCCAGGCTGGAGCGCAGCAGTGCTATCTTGGCTCGCTGCAACCTCTGCCTCCCAGGCTCAAGTGATCCTCCCACTTCAACCTCCCAAGTAGCTGGGACCACAGGTGTGCGCCATCATTCCTGGTTAATTTTCCATAGAGATGGGGTTTCGCCTGTTACCCAGACTGGTCTTGAACTCCTGGACTCACACAATCCGCCCACCTCGGCCTCCCAAAGTGCTAGGATTATAGGTGTGAGCCACCGCATCCAGTCTATACTTTTTTTTTTTGAGATGGAGTCTCGCTCTGTCACCCAGGCTGGAGTGCAGTGGCGCCATCTCGGCTCACTGCAAGCTCCACCTCCCTGGTTCACGCCATTCTTCTGCCTCAGCCTCCTGAGAAGCTGGGACTACAGGCACCTGCCACCACTTCTGGCTAATTTTTTATATTTTTAGTAGAGATAGGGTTTCACCGTGTAGCCAGGACGGTCCTGATCTCCTGACCTCGTGATCCGCCCACCCAGGCCTCCCAAAGTGCTGGGAATACAGGTGTAAGCCACCGCGCCCGGCTCCCAGCCTATACATTTTTAAATAACTAAAAGAGTATAACTGGATTGTTTGTAACACAAAGGATAAATTTCTTGAGATGACAGATACCCCATTTTCCATGATGTGATTATACATTACATGCCTGTATCAAAATATCTCATGTATCGTATAAATATATATACCTTCTATGTGCCCACACAAAAAAAATTTAATTAAAAAAAGATAACAGATGTATGACATGGCAATTTTCCCCAAGCTCTCACTTAGAGTACAGTTAGCTGAGGGAAAAGATTCCCAAAGGGAAAACTGTATGCTATTCAGTATGGGACTGTGAGAATTTGTGCCAACCTCACCCATGCAAGATTTAAGGAGAAGGGGGCTTGGGTCTCAGGCAGCATCAATAATTAAGAAAGTCAAGCCAGGTATGGTGGTATATACCTATTGTTCCAGCTACTCAAGAGGCTGAGGCAGGAGGATCACTTCAGCCCCAGTCCAGCCTGGGCAACATAGCAAGACCCCATCACTCAAATGAAAGAATAATAATAATTAAGGGAATCTGCACAGGGAACACAAAGCAATCTCGTCCTCTTAGATAAGCTGCTAAATCTGGTAAACACTAGTGTACTGCATAAGCTTTTGGATATACACCCACCTGCATCTCTTCTACCCAAGACAGTAGTTCATACACAAATCGGAGATTGCCTTCATCTTCAGAGGAGCTGATAGCCACAAGTTCAGCCCGAGTCATAGGCTTTCGGAACCAGGAGGTAGAAGAAGAATAGGGTGCCTTGGTTAAGGGTTCTGCTTTCAGATGAGTAGTGGTTAAAGTAGAGGGTGGAACCAATTCAAGTGAAGTGAAATGGCCCTTCCGGTACAGGTTTGTACACTCTAGGCGCAAGGTGACCAGCTCATCCTGCAGACGCATGACCCTGAAATGGAAGAAGAGAAAAAAGGAAGGGATTTAAATCTATAGTATACTTTTAAAAATAAAATCTTCCTTATCCATTTGACAAAGATATGATAAAAATAAAAATGAGCCACCCTGGCCAACATGGTGAAACCCTGTCTGTACTAAAAATACGAAAATTAGCCAGGTGTAGTGGCACATGCCTGTAGTCCCAGCTACTCAGGAGGCTGAGGTAGGAGAATTGCTTGAACTCAGGAGGCGGAGGTTGCAGTGAGCTGAGATCACACCACTGCATCCCAGCCTGGGTGACAGAGCAAGACCCGGTCTCAAAAAAAATAAAATAAAAAACAAAAAATAAAAATGAGATCATATAAGGAAAAGTGTTTAGAAAAAGTGCTATATGAATACAAGGTGATATTATTAACATCTCCATCTAGTTCAGAATTGTTTTTAAGACAAATGCTAAATTACAGTGTTAAATGGAGGGAAGCTAACAATACTATTTATAGAACTCTCAAATAGTATAATAAAACAAACAATGGATTAGGGGTCAAGAAATGTGGGTCCTAGTCTCGGCTCTGTAAAACTAGCCTTGGGAGGCCGAGACAGGTGGATCACAAGGTCAGGAATTCAAGACCAGCCTGGCCAACATGGTGAAACCCCATCTCTAGTAAAAATACAAAAATTAGCTGGGCATGGTGGTACACGCGTGTACTCCCAGCTACTCTGAGGCTGAAGCAGGAGAATTGCTTGGACCCAGCAGGCAGAAGTCGCAGTGAGCTGAGATTGTGCCACTGCACTCCATCCTGGGCTACAGAGTGAGGTGCCGTCTCAAAAAAAAAGAAAAAAAAAACTAGCCACATGATTTTACACAATTTTCATCTTCTGTGGGTCTCAGTTTTCTCCCCTATAAAAAGAATGTGATGGATCACCAATGTTTCTAAATCAGAAGTTGTGTTGTGTCTCACCCCTGCAGGTCGTTCTAAAATATATGAGAACGGGCCAGATATAGTGGTTCATGCCTGTAATCTCAGCACTTCGGGAGGCTGAGGCAGGAGGATCGCTTGAGCCCAGGAGATTGAGATCAGCATGGGCAAGATGGCAAAACCCCGTCTCTACTAAAAATACAAAAATTAGCTGGGCATGGCAGCCTGCACTTATAGGCCTAGCTACCTGGGAGGCTGAGGTGGAAGGATCGCTTGAGCTCAGGAAGTCGAGGCTGCAGTGAGCCATGATTGTGCCATTGCACTCCAGCCTGGGCAACAAAAGTGAGACCCTGTCTTTAACTAATTAATTAATTAAAAGAAAATATGTGGGATGTTATAAAAGGCCACAACGATTGAAGTAATCCTATAGGTACTTAGTGGGATAGGGGTGCAATAAGGAGAAACTGTCCTCCACTAACTGAACATTGCTGCCCAAGACATCTGTAGTATCTCCATTGAGACACTGACCTCAAATGTCCAAGTTAAAAGATTAAGTGCCTGACTCTTGCTCTACTCTTGATCCATGAGTCTCAGCAGTAAGCAAGTAAGCCCTCCGTTTGAGTCCCTTGTTCCTCACCTAAAAGCCAGCTCTTCTAGCTGGTAGTAATTCTCATCCCGCAGGATCTGGAGATCCACCTGCAGCTGCCTGATGAGACCTTCACACTCCTGAATGTACATAATGACATCTGACTCACATTGTACCGGTTGTCCTGATTCCAGATGAGCAGCATCCTGAGACAGGAAGAGAGAATAACAGTGGGAAAACTTCCATTGCCCCACTCACTAGGACAGACGGAGCCAAGGAGTCTACTGCAATTCCAAAGAAAAGGGAAGTAATACATCTGGATTCCTCGATTGCTAACTTCAACCATTAGAGCAGAGGGTGAGAAGCAGAAAACATGTGACATAGATGTGGGACAAAAACAGTCAGAGACTTACAGCCTGCAAGGTATTCTTAGCTAGTGTCAGTTTTTCTTCACAGTTCAAAGCACCATTCTGAATTTTGTTTGCAATCTGTAGCAGCAATTCCAGCCTGAAATAAGATAAAACCATAGTCATGTGAAAGGTTCACAGCAGCTCAATAAATAATGTCAGACCACTCTCAGGATCTGGACCCACCTCTCCACAGCCGGCCGAAGTGATTTCTCTCGCTCCAGCATCTCTATGATGAGCTTTCCCCACTCTTCTTCCACATCATTAGGGTGATAACCTTGAGGCAGTTTAATTCGGCCAAATTCAATCCACACCTGAAAGAGCCACTCTTTCAGTCCCAAAACACAGCCATGCCCTCTTGTCCCAGTTTTGATTTACACATCACTTCTTGCTTCCTTACCCAGCCATTCAGCAGTTTTTCCTATTGTCTAACATGGAAAAACAATCAAATATGTATCAGGTTCTTCACCCTTGAGGTAAAGAGCAGAAAAGTCACCTCTAGAATGTAGGGACTACCTACTCTAAGTCCTTCCATTCCTTTTACACTTTCTATAAATCCTCCTTTCCCCTCAGTAACTTTTATTCTGGCAAGGTTACAGTCTCATCTCTACAACTTCAAATTCTCTAGGAATCAAATTCTGAACAGAAGTCTCTCTTCTTTCCACCCTAGGGAAAGATTCAGCTTCCCTCTGAGAAGCAGAAAAATTTATCCACAAAACTCAAGATTTCTGAATAAATATATGCCATTTTTCAATAAGCCCTTTAAAAAACAGAGATGGCTGACACTGCCCCTTTACCACAATATTTTAAGACCAACCTGAGAGTGGTGCTATTATTTGTCACCAGGAGAGTACTTCTATTAATGCAGTTTGGGAAGAGAACACAAGGAATCTATAATCAAGAAGCAACAACAGTACAGACCAGCAAACCCCAAGTCTCAGCAAAGGATAAGCTCTCTTACCTCTAGTAATTTATATAATTCCTCAATTCTTCCTTTTTCTCTCTCCTTGGCCAGAATTTCTGTTTCTTTGAAGTGTATATATTGGTTATAAAGTGCCTATAAAATTAATATTTGGTGAATGAATGGACACAAACTTTAGGACCCAATTTTTCATACCACCTCACCCAGAAGCCAGCATTGATAAGCTTGGAGACTTACTCCCTAGAAAGATTTTACCAAAAAAATTTAAGTCCTTGACTTTACCTTTAGTTCAACAGGGTTTTGGGGAAAAGTTTTATCTGACATCAGTATTGTATGCTGTTTGATCCAGGGAATGAGGGAGTCCACTCGGCTTTGGTATTCTTGCCACCTGGAGTCCACTTCCTGTTGCCAGAAGGTAAACATCACACACCTGATTAGCAATATCCAAAACAACCACAAGAGGAAGTAGCTCAGGCCACTCCAAACTATATAAAATCCCTTTCCTTTAATTGCCTAGATGATGCTCAGTTTAATGCTCACAGTGCCAGTTTCAAAGCTCCTCAAGGGCTCTCAGGCTGGGATTCAATTTCCTGACACTAAGAAAGGCTACAAACCAAGCTACTAAAAATATTCTGAAAAGAGCTGTGATCTACCTAATCAAGCTGATATATGAATGACTGATAAAATACTTCCTCATCTTGAATTACAGCTAGGGATGAAAGGGACATTCCTTGCTGGCATTTAGCACCAAATAGTCTATGCTAATTGTTACAAAATTAGCAGTATCTAGACTCATTTCCAGGGCCAAGGATAATGTCCATGTATGATAAAGATACTGGATATATAGTTTGATACCATGAGTATACCATCAGTACTTAAGAAAGTGTCTAAGCAATACATTCCACCCAAATGAATCAAAGTCAGAAGGCCTTCTAGGAAAATGTTCTTTTACCGTAGCACTGATCCCTTCTCCACCCTCAGGGACTTTAGGGAAGGCATCATAAATTGAAGACACATAAGTGATTACAGACTTTTCATCTGGAGATGGCACATCCACATCTGAGAGAGAATGGACAAGAAATTTCTTAGTCAGAACAAAGGAACTTGCCAAAAGAAGGAATACTGAATACACATTCCTTACTCAAGTTCAGTAAACTCTCTCTCACCTTCTGCATCCAGCAGACGAGTGACCCCTAGTCTTTCTGCCACTTCAAAAGCCTGTTCCAGATTCTCTCGGTTACTTTGGATTTGTACCCTCTCCATGTCTACCAGATCGGGTCTGTAAAAGTCCAGCAAGGCACATGAAAGGTCAACATCTACACATCACACATGAGTTCCTCCTAAAAGAAAACCTCCTAAAAGTTCCCAGAGCTGAAAAACACTGAGTTAGAGAAAAAGCAGGAGGTTAAGAAGAGCACAAATTCCATTTTTAAGTATATACCAGGGGCTCAGTGCTCCCTAATGCTAAACTTAAACACACAGTTTAGGTTTGTTGAATGTCATGGGAAAAATATCATCAGTTAGCACTGAAAATTGGGGCATGTTTATGACCACTAAGAACTCAACAATTTTCAATTTTGTCATTCAGAATTCCTATCTTCCTCACCTCACTTCAGCCACCTGCTGTTCCTAAACCACTCCAAAACCACTCCAAGCAAGCCCTCACTCCAGGCCCTTTGCACTTGTATTTCTTCCAACTGGAACACTCTGACCCCAGAAGCCTGCATGACTCACTCCCTCACGGCTCTGCTCTAATATGCTCACCAAAGAGGCCATCTCTGACCACCCTGTCCAAAATATCACAAACCTCTGCCACTTTCTAATCCTGCCATTGCATTTACCACTGCTTGATGGCATACATTTATTACCTATTCTCCCTACTGGAAGGAAAGTTCCATGAGAGAAAAAACTTTCGCTGTTTTCTTCACTGCTCCTTGTGCCCAGTTCCTAGGAAATTAGTTAAATAGATATTCCTTTTTCAAATGAACAAATGAATCAAAGCTTTGATTTTTGCTTGAGGAGGTGGAAATAGCATTATAACTAATTACAAACAAGAGATGAGAAGAAGCCCCGCAGGAGCACAGAAATTCCACTGTTCTTACCGGTATCGGTGAATGAGTGCATTGAACATCTTCCCATCACTCCAGCAGGAGGAAAAGTTGGTGCATTTGATTCCTGTGTAACCAGCTGTCACCTTCTGGGTCCACAGGAGTAGTTTCTCCTTAGCTGACATATCCCCTGATTCTCCACTAATGTAGATGTCAGAGATCTGCCAAAAGATGGGACACAGAATAATTCATTATAAATAAGACACAGTCTTTCAGCCTTCTCTTCTCCATACACTATGGCTCTTAGTAAAACGAAGATCCAAAGCTGGAAGCACTTCAGAGGACTATTCCATCATATATTCACCCTCTTGCTAGTCAAAGAAACACAAATTAAAACCATGAGAGGTAATTTTTCACCTGTCAAATTAGGAAATGTTTGTTTTTAATGATAATATTCACGATTGGAGAGAATATCTAAAATTGGGTACCGTCATAGACTGCCACTAGTGAGAGTATAAATGCCATAACTTCTCTGGATGTCAGTTTTGAATCAAGTCTCAAAACATACATACAACTTGATAGGAAGTCATCAGAAATATAAACAAATAATTTTATACATGAATATTTATCAAAGCATAATAAAGGTGACTTAGCAAAAAGTTATAAAAAGCTTAAATACTAATGAGGGGTTGGGGTTGACTGGTTATAAATCATAGCACAATTATAGCAGAATAGAATTCTTTGTAGCACTTAAAAAGTTATGTTTTAGAAAGTTTCAGGCCAGGTGCAGTGGCTCATGCCTGTAGTCCCAGTTACTCAGGAGGCTGAGGGGGGATGATCACTTGAAGCCAAGAGATGAAGGCTGCAGTGAAGTATGATCATGCCACAATACTGCAGCCTGGGTGACAGAGTGAGACTCCATCTCAAAAAAATAAATAAAAAAGTTTTACAAAGAAAATTTTAATGACATAGGACAATGATTACCAAATTTAAGAAACAGAATATAAACAAAATAATATATAGTAATCTTATTTTGTATAAAAGACACACAAAATATACATTTAAGTACACAGTCATATATATGTACAAATGCATACACATACACCTATGTATGCAATACAGGCACAAATACTGTATGTATGTGAGAAATACAGCAAACTAATAATCATAGTTACCTCTATGGAGTAACATTACAGGTGATTTTCATATTTTCCAAATTTTCTACATCCTGTACATTTTCATAAGAAAAAAGTTATTTTAAGAAATCTCCAAAATACAGAACAAGACCTATTTTAGAGAGATCGTAATGCAGGTGAGGAAAAAGTGCATGTCTCGTGTGTGCAAAGTGGGACTAATACCACCTTTTCAGGGTTGCTGTGATAATCAGTGAGATTACACATTAAAGCAGCTAGCCCAAACTCAGGATTATGCTCAACAAATAAGGGTTCCCTTATCTCTTCTTTATTTGAAGGCTGGTCTTCCTTCAATTCTTACTTGTCTAACTCCCACAGCACTGACAGTCTGTATCATCATCTAATTAAATGTTATTTTGGGCTAGGCGCAGTAATCCTAGCTCTTTGGGAGACTGAGGCAGGCAGATCACCTGAGGTCAGGAGTTCGAGACCAGGCTGGCCGACATGGTGAAACCCCATCTCTACTAAAAATATAAAAATTAACCAGTGGTGGCGCGCAACTGTAGTCCCAACTACTTGGGAGGCTGAGGCACGAGAATCGTTTGAACCTGGGAGGCGGACGTCGTGGTGAGCTGAAATTGCATCACTGCACTCTAGCCTGGGCGACAGGGTGAGACTCTGTCTCGAAAACATAAAATAAATAAATAAATGTTATTTTGCAGTATGGACTATTATTTCATATATTTAATCTTATCTCCCCTAGACTGCATGCAGGTTTCCTGAGGAGGGCTGGCACCACATCTTAACAATACAAAACTGAACAGCAGCCCCTATATGGGAGAGCTCCTCACCACTGGACGTGTTCAAGCAGAAACTAAGATGCTGTGGACGAAATAACTTCCAAATCTGAGACCCATGGATCATAGTCCTTTGGTGCACTGCCCATTGCACTTAGTGTTGTGCTGGTTGTATGGTGGGACCTTAACATGTTTTAATTAATAATAACTTGGTTTAAGAATTAAATAATAAAAATAAGCAAACAAAACTATTTTGGGGGCCAGGCACGGTGGCTCACGCCTGTATGCCCAACACTTTGGGAGGCCAAGGCAAGCAGATCACCTGAGGTCAGGAGTCTGAGACCATTCCAGCCTAGGCGACAGAGTGGGACTCTGTCTCAAAAAAAAAAAAAAAAAAAAAGTATTCTGGGATAAAGCCCATCTAGAATCTGTAGACAGGTTACGTAGCTATTTCAAAGCAGTGTGTAAAGTGAAACAAGTTTAGGCTAGCATTATTTATCTCCTCTGGAGTGGGACTATGAATGACTTTATTTTTTCTTCCTACTCTTCTTTTTTTCAGACTTTAAGTAATGACCACACTTTATTTTTATAATAAAAAACTATAAAAATAATCCTTGTTAAGGAAAAATATTAAGCCTTTGATTCAGACAGATATGTGTTTGAAAGAAGGCATTTACTAGAAATGTGACCTCAGGCAAACCACATAAGCCTCCTGGCCCAATTTTTCCCATATTTAAAATAGGATAATAATTTTCCCAAAGGATCATTATAAGGATTAAATAAGATGATGTAGGTAGTGCCGAGGGTACATATATTTCCTTCCCATAATAATAAGACAGCATACCCAGCACAATTTTTAGTCTGGGTGTTTGGGGCAGAGAAAACACAGGCATGTCAATAGAACATCCTGTCTCTTAGTCATCTCATTCAGGTGCAGTACCGTGAAAGTAGTAGCTTCCCTTGTGACCAGTACAAGGGAGAAATCAATAATAAGGCATCTCCAAGTGTCTGAATTTACAAACTCATAATAGATGAGATTAAATATCAGATGATATTTTAAAATTGGAAAGAAAAAAAAAGGGGCCAGGAACTTTAACACTATATTTAGAATAAAAGAAAGCTGTAGGCAAATAAATATTACTAAGATGTCTGAAGAAAGACCGTGAGAATAGACGAGTATAGGAAGCTTGCATTGAGTATAGAAAAGGGAAGCCAGGAAGTACTGCCTCTATGCCTGTGAAGGTGAAATTGTGCCCTACCCAGCAGATTCAAGGGACATGGGTTCTTATGCCCTTGACAGGTACATTTCTACGGAAGAAATCAGACTATTCTACTTTGATGATGCCAACTAATAAGACCATCCTACAAATCATTCCTCCACTCACCACCTCTCTGCTCTGACTCCATGTTCACCTGACATGAGGTGACAACCTTCAGATTATTATTTGCTTCCCATATAGATATTATAAAGCAACAAAAGCACTAAGTGGCCAATTTGAATTCTTGAATGACTTGGCAGTCAAAATTTATTTTGTAAATTAATAAATTCACATCGACCAATCTCATGCAAATGTGATCAGTGTGAGTTAATTTCCTAAAACTTAATCAATTCCAGGTCTACTTGGGGCTAGGGGAGGGGCAGTAGTGGGGAGAGAAGCTATGGAGCTGCAAAGCCAAGGACTCAATAATGGATCATGGCTCTTCCTATAAACAGCTTCTTCCTAGTACCAATTCTATTTCAGTTCCCCTTAACATTTCTAGCTACCTATTTCACTGGCTAAATGCAACATTGATATATCCCACTGCCTTCACTGTAGCTGCTTCGCATACATATTAAAGTAAAACATTATTGGGAACAGGAAATAGATTTGTTGACGTAAAAAAAGACAGAACTTGAATAAGCAAAACAAAACCTGAGTATTTGGGTTCTTTACCCAAAAATGAAATTCCAGTTAGTTAACTGATATTGTATGTTCATTACAGCCATAATCTTTCTGATAACATCTCTCATCTCTTAGTATTTCTGTATATTGCACTAAAACTACTTCAACAAACAGCTTTACTTCAGATTTTAAACATAGCTATAATGAGATAGATGTTTGGATCCCTAAGTTAAAAAAAAAAAAAAAAAAAAAAAAAACCCTGTATGGATTAGGGCCCTTCCTAGACTGCAAACTGGATGAGAAAAAATGGGATTATCATCACAACCATCTCAGTAATTAAATTTGGTTTTCATCAATCTTTTTCTGTATACTCACACATGATATGTGTGCACAGTACTGTCCTCTGGGCTATGCAGAAGTTTTACCTTAATCTCCCAAATGCAGAAATCCAGCTTCAGTTTCAGAGATCTTTCTCTCTCATCTCGATTTTTTAAGGAGGAAGCCATTTGGAGAGGAAGAACAGCCTCAACATTATGCCGCAGAATATGCAAATTCCACCTGAATTTCCTTTCAACTCACACTTCCCAAAGCTTGGTTAATTGCTTTTCTGAAGTATTCCCAGAAGCTGAATGTTTTCCTAATAATTCAATAAGTATTGACTGAACAACATCTTAGCACTATGACAGGCACCATGGAGAATAACAAAAAAAAGACACACCATTTACTTATTCTGTTAATATTTTTTGAGCAACCATTATATTCTAGGAGCTGTGCTTAAGTTCTTAATATCTCAAAATAAAAAAACACAGCCTCAGGCCTCAAGTTCAAGCAATTTAATCAGGGAGACAATTTACTATACAAAGAGATCAATGTTGTGACAGAGATAAGCAAGTAAATCCAACTAGCAATGCCAGAGGATTGCTCAGCAACAACCTCTGTGCTGAGTTTTAATAAGTAGAAGTTGGCCAGGTAAAAACGTGGAAAACAAAAAAAGAAGACATGTCTGCCCTGCAAGAACTTAGTTGAGACATGCCATAACTAACATATGATTATCCCAAATATTTTCCCAGATAACAACAGGTGTGTGAAACTAAAACAGGAATACAGGAAGGGAAGCTCTGTGGTCCTCCTGAATACGCAAACTTTTAGAAATTTATTTACACATATACACATATTTAAAATTAAGCAGTATATTTAATGCATTTAGTGTTAATGTATTTTCTGCCTTTATTATTTCAAAAAACCGTATTATTCAAACTTCACATGCATCTTTAACATCAATGTTTTTTCCTTCAATAAAGCTATTTTTTTGAGTGAATTTTCTAGAAAATACTGTCTACTTTTCTTTTTAAGATTTTAAAGTTAATGACAGCATTTTTCTGAATCTACATTGTCTCTGGGTATTTCA